CATTGCAGGGCGTTTATGTAAACGGCGGCTGTGAGGAAACTGATTTCGAATAAGACCCTTTTCGGCTTGTGGTATCAGGGTAGGGAGATCTTAACGTACATTAATCCATAATAAACACCCGCGGTCTTCATGACGCAGATCGTATAATGGAAGTCCGGATGCAAAAAACAAAGTAGAAAGGGAATACACAGCCGCCGAATACAAAGGGAGCCCGGAGCACATGCCTATGTCCGTGAAATGCAAAGACACCTGGAGCCAGAGAAAACATGCAAGAAATAGATAGCCATTGAACGAGACAGGGGAAAGCCCCTACGCCAGGTGAACGTCCGGTCATCGCATAAATCAGAGCTTGTTTGACCGCGAATAGAACAGAAACAAATGCAAAACCTCCATTTGGAAGGAAAAAAGGGAATTGATATCATGTCATCAGGATAAAGCAGGCTCATCAAGGGAACAAGGTCATAGCGGAAAAGCAGAAAAAACGCAGAAAATCAAAAGACGGGAACAAGTGAGATGTTAAGGGATTCAGGGATTCACCACCGACTGATACCACCACCATAGACCATCGAGGGGTTGTACCCACCTTGACCCTGACTCCCGTACAACGCTTGCCCAGCAGTAGCATTCGCACCGACTTGATGCATCCTCGCCTGCAAAATGCTCGGGTCCGCAAGATCTACTACACCACCTCCACCGGAGGAAGTGTTAGCGTTTCTGTGCTTCTTCCCCTTCTTCTTCTGCTTCTGTGGGCCACCAGAATCAGGCATTACACCCGCTTGGGGCCCATAGAAGGAGCTGAGAAGGCCATTGGCAGGAGTCATGGGGGGAGGGGTATTGTGCTGTTGAAGAAAGGGGAACATAAACTCACGCTTAGCGGCCTCCTGGCCCTGTAAACCACCAACATTCGTACCAGTTCGTCCACGCAGTAGCTCGCGCATGAGCTCGGGAGTTGGGTCTTGCTTTCCACTATTACCACCAAGCCCAGAGGTGAAGCCATGTCCCTGGGCGAACATTCCGCCACCACTAATCGGAGGGGTACCGGCTGTCTTGAGTCCCGGAGGAGGACCTTGCACACCACTGGCATAGAAACCGCTTGCTGCAAGACTATGTTGAGGGCTTGGAGCAGAAAGAGGGTTGGGAGATGAGGATTGCATCTGGCCCAGCATGCGTGCATTAGGCATATTCTTAGAAGCCGCCTCATTGGCGAAGGAAAACCGGGAAGACTGTCGGCTCTGTGCTGCCTGTAGCGCATTAAACTGTGCCATCTGATTATGCACAAGACCTTGGCGGGCCTGGGCGGCTTGGTCCAGAGCGGCAGAGCTGAGAGGGTCAGCCAGACCGGCTTGTTGATTACCAGCGGACTTGAGTAGCATCAACTGCTGTTGCTGCAAGGGAGTTAAGCTTCGTCCAGCGAGGTTCAAGCCTTGGAATTGATGGCTAGTCGCAGAAACAGGTGATCCGACAGTTGAGTTGTCCGCAGTGTCTTGCTGCGACGGGGGTTGGATAGCACCATGAGACTCCCGCGTCTGGCGATTGCGCGGGGGATTTGCTTCTTCCGGCTCACCACCTAGCTGGAGGCTGCCAGCTTCACGGCTATCCTCCTCAGCCGCAACAGATTGAAGCAACTCGTGCTCGCGACTGAGACGCTCTTGCTCGACCTTCTCGCGCATAGCTCTGCGCTTGACGCCACCATATGGATCGATGAAGGATGGGTAATCCTTGATTAACTTGACCTCTTCGGCGGTTAGTTCGGCCGTGCTGAAGGAAAACTTGAAATCAGGAGAGTTGATATCCTTGAGCAGAGTGTCAAACGGTGATGGTAGCTTGGGACCTTGAGGCGCACGGCGAAGACGTGGTTGCGGGGCGGGAGATTGGGGTTCGACTTGGGGGATTGATTGTTGGGATTCTTGAGAAATCGGAGATGGCTTCTCTGCTCGCTTGGGTTCTTCAACCGGGGTCGCGACACTGACACTTGCGGGCCGTGGGCTATTGGAGGTTTGGCTACCAGTGAGACTAGTCCTTCTGGTTCGGTGAATAGCAGTTGCCACATCTTTGTTAGCCCAGCTGGCAGTTGACGGGAGGGCCGGGCCATCTGGTATGCCGGTGCGACTGCTGATCGAGTCATCCTTGCTCGGTTGCCGGCGCATAGGATGGGCGATGGGTTGAGCGGACCTCACGTGAGAGGGGGTGGGTGGGAGGTTCGGCCGTTGGGTGGAAATCGAGTTCATAGATGAGAGGTCTTGGCGGCTGTAGCTGTCGCTGTCTTCCCCGGTCTCGTGCAAGAAAGTGCAGTTCCGATTATTGCATTGCTCATTGCGGAGGAAGGAAGAGCAATATTTCGTTGTTCCGTATTGCGCCCTGAGCACTCGATCGCCATTTCCGGAACCGTCCACAGCGTTGATGCACATCGCAGCATCGATTTTGCGCGAGAAAGTCACATAAACACCAATTCCCTGGTTGGGGTTGCCGCCGGGCTTAGCCTTGCTGACCACGATTTTCTCAATCTCGCCATATTGACCGAAATATTCCCGTCCACGGAGCGTTTGAAGGAGTTGATTTTCGTCGCGGATAGTAGGGTTGAGGCCGATAACGTAGACCAAGTTCTTTTGGACGACACGGACACCGGCCAAGTTCTTCCGGCTGGAAGCCTCGATTTCACGCTTTTCGGCTTCCTTCTTTTTCGCAGCAGCCGCCTTACGATGCTTCAGTGCCAGATCTGCCTTGAACCTAAACACAGCAAGTTAGTTGGGATGTGGCGTAGATGTCACAGAGTATGGGCTGACTCACTCCTCGACGTCAGGAATCTTGTACTGAATAGTACTTTCATCGTATCCGCGCCGGCAGTTGGGGCATCGTCCTTCTTCATTCTGCGTCTTAATGTTGTTGTAGCAGAATTGGCAAATCTAAAAGAGATCACATGTTAGGTCTGGCACAGGGAGAGAAAGACGAGCCACCTGTCCACGTCACGACAAATCAAGTACTGGCAGAGGCGCGTCAGGGATAACGATCAGACATACCTGATATCCACAAGGACACGGTTTAAAATTCTTATCGGAGAGATCGAACTCTTCAATGCAGAGGGGGCTGTGGGGTGATCGATCAGTACACAGATCGCGCAGGTCGAATGAGGTTCAAGACCTACCAGAACTCGTCGTCGTCGTCGATGACGGAATCGATCAATGAAATACTGGACATGATCGCAGGGAATACGGTGACAACCGGAGAGGGACACGAGATCTCAAACGCCGACCGATTAAATCAGAGGAGAAACTGCGAAAATAAAAGAAATACGCTGCCCTGTAAAGTGTAGGAAGATAGACGGCGATTAGATGTTTGAGGAGGAGCGAGAAGAAGAGAGGGCAAAAGAAAGGGTGAAGATTATTGATAGAAGAGGGTGAACGGGGAGAAGAAGGAAGGAAATTGTGAAGCGCGGCTTCATTTTGCTGGCATTGCCCGATCGAGTTTAGCGTATGCCCAACACGTGACCAAAAGTCATCGACCACTCTAAACCTTCACAATCCGACTTACGTGCCTCCGTCCCCTCCTCCCGTTGCATCTGCCATTGCTCCCTCTACACAATGGCCTCCGCACGCTCTTTGATGCGCCTGGGTTCTGGACGCTCTGTGGCATCTGCCACGAGGTCCATGGCCGCCCGCACCTTTTCCTCCGCCTCCCTTCAGTGTGCCCCCAAGGCCTCGACAGCACCGGGTCCGGAACCTGAGAACATGCGCCAGGCGCAGCGCCCGCGTATGTGCAATGGACCAGCCGATAGATAGGACACAATTGAGCTAACCGAACTGTCTTTTGCCAGCCCCGGGACCCCTGCGCGCCCCCGTGGTTAACCCTGCCGACAAGTACCAGCCCTTGGCCGACAGCCTCCACGCCTACGGACAATACGTTATGTCTTGTCTGCCTAAATATGTCCAACAGTTCACCGTCTGGAAGGATGAGCTCACCGTGTACACCGCTCCCGCCGGTGTCATCCCCGTGATGAGCTTCCTCAAGAACCACACTGCCGCCGAGTTCACCCAGATCTCCGATATTACCGCTGTCGACTTCCCCACTCGCGACCAGCGCTTTGAGGTCGTCTACAACATGCTCAGTGTTCGCCACAACTCCCGCATCCGTGTCAAGACCTACGCGGATGAGGCCACTCCCGTGCCCAGTGTGACTGGTCTCTTCGAAGGTGCTTTGTGGTACGAGCGTGAGGTGTACGACATGTTCGGTGTCTTCTTCTCCGGCCACCCTGATCTCCGCCGTATTATGACCGATTACGGCTTCGACGGCCACCCACTTCGCAAGGACTTCCCCTTGACCGGTTATACTGAGCTCCGCTACGACGAAGAGAAGAAGCGTATCGTTATTGAGCCCCTTGAGCTTACCCAGGCCTTCCGCAACTTTGAGAGCGGCTCCACTGCCTGGGAGCCCGTGGGTGCTGGTGAAAACCGCACTCCTGAATCCGTAAGTCACATTCCCTTCGTTCCTGAAACACAATGTCCTAACCTGTTCAACTACAGTTCAAGCTTCCTACCCCCAAGCCGGAGGAGAAGACGGAAGAAAAGAAATAGAAAGGGACTGTATGCGTATCATTTTCTTTGCCATGTTTGTATGTACATATCCGTCAGTGTTAATCGATGGTCTTTTTTTGTCCAAACGATATATCAAGCAATGTAGCGCACGTAGTAGTGAATTTGCCCGAGTTCGCTCATAAACGAACACCCCTGGTTGATATCAAATTATTATTATTTACACACTAATCCCAATTTCCAAGGAAATATATACTCCGAACTAAAAATCAAAGCGATTGATTTGCGATGACCATTGCAAGCGTCTGTCTTGGCGCCGGGATCCGCCCAGAAAAAAAATTAAGCTACACCAACATCCGACGATCAACACGACCCTCGAAACCGCCCTCGGTTTTTATTTCGACGGTCCGTACATTCTTTGACTCGCCCATCTCAATACCCCACATCTCAATACACTCATAACACCGAAAAAAAATGCCTAAACGCAAGCTCGACGAAGTTAGCGGCCCTGCGCCCCCGCGGCCGTCCAGCGATACCCGCAAAATGTCCATTCACGGCACACGGTTGACGCAAATGTTCGAGAACGGCGTGTTGATGATCATGCGTGGTCTCAAGACATCGCGCGGCTTTGAGCGACAAAAGCTCAGTCGGCGCGAGAAAACAGCGAAGGCGCAGAAGGACGATAAGGCTTTGGCGCGACTAAAGGAAGAAATCGAGACTTTGAAGGTATGTAGTTCTGGTTACTAGTGTGGTTTTGTGAAAATTCTTCGCCCAGAACTCGATCGCTAATATTTACTTTAACAGGGTCTCGATTACCATGTCACATCCGAACGATACCTGTTCAAGCAACTTATCAGGACGAAGCGGATTGCAGAAACGCGGACATTTGGCGAGTTCCAGGCCGTCAAGAAAGTCTCCCAGGAAGGACCGAAGAGTACCGCCGAAGCGAATATCCTAGCGCGACTATTCAAATCGACTCCCGTGCAGAAAGAAATGCCTGGCATCATGGCCGGAATTCGGAAATTACTGCGAGTGGACGAGTTGCCGAGCAAGGCGACAAAAGAGGATACCAAAAAGGATGCGCCAAAGAAGGCAAAGAAAAACGACGGATCCGAGTCTGAATCAGAGGCGACGTCAAAAGCCAGGCGCGGCGAGCAGGTCTCCCGCCCCGCGAAGGACATGGACATCTCCGGCTCCGACGAATCCGGAGACGAAGAAATCTCACAATTCGACTCGCGACTTGGACCAGGCTCAGACTCCGAAGCTGACTCGGAATCCGGCGATGAGGAAGATCGCGCCGCAGACGATATCTCAGACTCTATCTCCCGTTCACCATCACCATCCTTCTCCGCTGCAGACTCTCCGCCACCTAAGAAAGTAAAGGCAGCTAAGGGTACTGCTGCGCCAGTGAAAAGCACCACATTCTTGCCGACTCTAATGAGCGGTTACTGGTCTGGCTCGGAAGAAGCTACTGATGAGGAAGATTCTGGCGCGAAGCCTGTCCGCAAGAACCGTATGGGTCAACAGGCGCGTCGGGCTTTGTGGGAGAAGAAGTTCGGAGCTACTGCAAACCACGTCAAGCAGGAGCAGCTGGCTGCGAAGTATGGTGGGAGAGATAATGGATGGGATACGAAGCGCGGTGCAACCGACGGTGCTAGAGGAGGGAGAGGAGGGAGAGGGGGCAGACGTGGTGGTTTCGGGGGTGGAGCTGGACGGTCTCAGGACAGAGATGGCCCTGCTGGTGCTCCTCACTCTGGGTACGGTGGCAAGCCTAAAGGTCCGCCCAAGGATGAGGGCCCGTTGCATCCTTCTTGGGAGGCAAAGCGGAAGGCCAAGGAGCAGGTTGCGGCTACTTTCTCTGGAACGAAGGTTACTTTCGATTAGGGTTATGGGTATTGTGTATATTTATGAATCAATGTTTGAAGTATCATCGTAAGCAAATGAGCAGATATTCAGATCTCCCTGTGCGCATACAGATTGAAAGTCACCCGACTAAGACAGTAAAAGATTGATTGTATTGAATACGAAATGATTGGGAATAAGCTGTGCACAATTTCCGAGAGTTCCACCACCCAGGGGCAATAAATAGCAGTGAAAGATAAAACAGTCGCAAGATGGTATACCAAGAAATCAAAAATCAAAATCATAAGATCCAACCCAAACATGTTGTATAGATGAGTCGCTGCTTGAGAACAAAGCACGGTAGAAAAATTCATCATGAGGGATTCATGAAGTGCAGCCAATGAGGAGGGTCAGGCCTGCTACCTGGCGTCTTCAATTCACCACCAGGCAAACCATTAGATTGAGCCTGGGAATCTGGCTCAAAGCAAGGAATAGCAGTGAACTCGCCCAACTCTTGCGGGAAGTTGGAGACAAAATGATCAAAGCCAAAGTGCGGCATCTGTGAAAGAGACTGCTGAGAAATAGAGAAACCGTCGGAGAGTGGGACTTCTTCGCCTTCTGGAATGCTCTGGTCAGGTGCAGCGGGTGTTGGAACAGTACCACCCACACCAATCATGGGCGCAGAAGGAGGTGTCAAAGACATTCCATGGAGGAGAGTAGCAGGACCTGCCATCGTAGAGGCTTGCGATGGTACACTTTGAGGGACATTGTGGTCACTTGAAGCGTAGGCTTCCTGCTGTTGCCACGCGAGTGTGGACGGCGAGATAGGCCCTGCTTTCCAAAGCATCTCCCAGTTTTTGAACCGGTCATAGGCAGACTCGACGGTACCTCCGCTGCTCATATCCGGTTGTGTCTCGCTCCATGCTTCGAGACGGCGAATGGCGCGTTCGAGCGCCTCTATGACACTGACAGCTGAACGGGCTGAGCCAACACCCATAGACATGATCTTGATGAGAGAAATTCCCTGTTCCAGGGCAGCACCAAGCCTTTCAGTCCGTTTAGTCAGGCCCTGGGCCAGAATGACCAGCAAAGCTGCACGACATGAACTAAATTCGGTAAATGAGGCTCGGGCGAGGCCAGTCTCATCACGGAGCAAGCGGCACAGATCGATGATTTCCAGAGCTGCTTCCACGCAGTCTGTAACAAGAGTCGCACGATTCTTTGACACACCGGACAGACTGGAAGACCGCGGGCCCTGAGAGGGGGTCTGGTAGATGCCTTTAATATTGCTGAAAAGGAAAGGGCGTCCAATGAAGACTCGGGTCAGACAGTAGTCTAGCTTGAGATGGACATTAGACCTGAAAAGCGGTCCTCCGGGACTCAGATCACGACAGGTAATCTCTTCAGGTAGAGTCGACCACCAATCAACGAGATGTTTCCGGAGATTCAGTATTCGTTCAAGACAGTCCTGCTGTTGCTCTTTGCGGAATTTTCGCAATGAGGTAATTTCATTTGAAACCTCCCCAAGCTTCAAAGTCAATGTAATGAGTGTTACCATGTTTGTATGGTTTGAGATTTGATTGACGGGCATCAACCCGGGGAAATCGACCGGCAGGGGGGCATCAACATCGGGGTCCGACAACGAGGATGGTCTGCCGTGGAGAATGCTTATACGCTTTTCGATAGTAAACGCGGTCCAGAAAACCCGATTCCGCACTTCGATCATGCCCGGGGACAGGCCTTCGCCGTGGTACCTCCGATGCATTCCATTTTGAATAGCCAATTTCAGTGCCAGACCAAAGTATGTGTAGCATAATCCTGAAGTATCCAACGGGAGCAAGTACGTCCCAATGAGTAAACAGGCCTGCACACTTCTAACCGAAGCGGTGGCGATGATGTCTGGGAGAAGCCTCGAGGCAAATTGGTAGAATGTGAGTCCGACCTCGTCCTCCGAAAAGTGATGGTCTTGATTTGCCATAGAACCCGAAGGCAAGCAATTCACGGGTGTGGATGACTCCATATGTGCAAATTGAGTACCCACAGCCAGAACCATAAGGATACAGCACACCGCGCCTGCATCGTCAAATGCCAAACTTTCAGGGTCAGTGTAGCAGATGCCCAATTTCTCCACTAACCAGTCTTCCTCGATGTAGAAATTATTGGTTTGTGCGTACTTAAAGAAGATCTGGACAAGAAAATCGGCAACATATCGCGGCGGCAGGCATGTAATTGAGGAAGACACCTGAGGTGACGTGGACTGTAGTTGTGTACTTCGCCATCGTTCTTCAAAAGGTTCAACTTCGGAAGTAGCCTGGGGCGGTTTTAGCATACCTTCGCTCACCGACAATTCACGGGAAACCTACCTCGGGTGCTGCAGTCTTCATCCACTCATCGATCTTCTTCCGGATCTTCATTGTGAAATTCAAATATGAGAATTCCCCGGAATATTCTGAGAAATAGTGTCAATCAATAAACCTTCATGTATGGTCTCCAAATTTCAACATACGGGTTGTGTTATCGGGCATAGCCTTGATTGTAAAATCCTCCTCATCAATGGCAAGGTCCTCCAGCTCATTGGGGTCTCCGCGGGTTGAAATCGCATCCGACTCGGAATCGCGGTGTTTGGTCTTCAGATCCTCTGCAGCCTGGCGCAGAGACTGAATGTCGAAGGAGATATTGGGTACATAATGCGATAGGAGACGTTCCATCAGGCGTACCCGTTCTGCCTCGGCGATGTCATTTCGACTCTGGGCGGCTGCTCGGTCCAAAAGTCTGGTAAGAGGGTTTGCGCCGTTAGCGGTCTAGTTTATGGTAGAAAATAGGCGTGTGATCAACCTACGAGACGGACGTTGACCGGGTCTTTTCATTGGGGTCGATGTGAGTAAAATTGCATTGGCGGCGGTATCGCAGACATCTCCGACACGGCACACCTCCTTCGCATTTCTCTTTCACCCGGCGGCAACCATCGCACCTGCGCAGAACCAACGTGTTAGAGGATCGGATTTAATTGATATAGGGCGACAGCATACGCTCGGACAGCTCGCTTGCGGTTTTCTTCGGCCACGCGAGGACGTTTTTGCTGGGTGGGCGTCGGGGTCGAGTCTTCCATTACAGTTATCAGGGCATTGTCTATAGAGAAAGAAAAAGGAGATTGGGGAAAGAGAGACCGGAATGTCCAAGCTTGGTAAATGGGAGAAAAAAGGGAAGCTAATCGATAAAGGACACCCCCGCATATCCCGGACTCATTTTGCTCCGCTCATCGGTCTTTTGATTTGGGGTCGATATTTGGTCTATTTTGGTCTTTGGGGGCTATTTATGATATGTTTTGTAGTTTTGTAGTTTTTTTTTTTTTTTTTTAATATATAGGGTTATCTACATTACTTCTATCTTCAAAAAAAAAAAAAAAAAAAAAAAAAATTAAGTAGACTAACCTGGTACTAGTCCCTGCCCTTATTAACCCTATCTAATGCCAGTTCAAGTACAATGGGCTTATACCATATTCCTAGAGGATTTCCCCCTATATCACCGTATCACTACCGGATGGACTCTAAATAACTTGGCATATATCATTCTTGGCTTCTCCTTTTACTTCATTCTCTCCAGAGTTGTGAGATCTGCTTATTTGGCCTGCTGCTTCAACTTTCTTTATCTTCATTTTCTTCTACATCCATCTAAGCATCTACGCCTTCCCACAAGCATATTACCAGAGGACCTGTATCGATTATACCATCCTTTGTTGGCTGGAGCATAACAACATGCGTGCTAATTTCGCGTCAATTTCGTTTTATCTTTGTTTGCTTACTGTCTCATTTAGTTGACTTGTAATGTTGTCTCTCATTCAATCCCCCATTCGGTTTGTTTAGCTTACTCCTGCGCCTTTCTTCATCTCTCACCATCTCTCATAATCTTTTATCATTCTTGATGTCTTCCTTCGCCACCCTTACGACTGAGGTGCTGCTTGAGATTATGGGTCATCTACCAACGCAGCAAGATCGTTTGATCCTGGCCAGATGCAATGCACGCATGTACACAGACCTTCAACTTGAGGGATATCTTCATATGGAACTTGAGCATTGCTGCTGCGCTCAGCGAGTGGAAAGGCTTGTTGAATCCCTTCTTCGGGACGCCTACATAGCCAGAAAAGTCAACGGCCTCAAGCTAGACAGAATGTGGACTATAATCAACACCGTACAGCCCAAGTTGCCCCATGCGCAAACTTGAATTCCTTCAAGTATGCCTTTTGCCCCGAGTACAGAGACGGGTCCTGTTCGGCACCCCGGTTTGGGGCCAAGTCATTCTTGGGACGATTTCTTCCAAGACACACTCGCTCGAAATTCTTTGCCTCCACTACTGTGAGGCGAGTAACTTTGACCCGAGTGGCAGTGCATCCATTGGAAACTTCAAAGCGTTTCGTGCACTGAAGCATTTGCAGCTGCCGATGCACACATTCTTAGGACTCGACAATATGCAGTATCCCGCATTGGATTATACTACAATTGGCTGCGTCTTAGCCTGTCACTCGATCTCACTGGCTATGCAACTACCGCCCTCTCTGGAGCGGCTCTCTATGACTCAATGGTGGGTTGGACCTGGAGCCGCCCTTAGCAACATGATCAATCACCTGCTGAACGTGGTGAGGTCTAAGGATATGTTTCGTCGCCTCGTCAATATTGAACTCTACAGCGGTGACATTAAAGCCATTCCAATCGCAGCTAGACAGCACGAGAGACGCTGGGATCTTTCTGGTGGGGTTAGGCTTGGCTATTCTGCGATTGACGAACAAAACAAACGGCTTTCCAATGCCTGCAGGGAGATGAGCGTCTGTTTGAGTAAATATTATTAATGATCGTATGGGGAGTGATTAGTTGTGCCGCGGCCCCCAATTGCTCAAGTATTGAGACCGACAATAGCCGTGCCCGTAGATTGGTGACTTATTTTGCAGTATGCAAGAAAGTCCACTACCGAGTGCAATGTGAGACAAATGGCTTTCAATCATACTTCCGATCAATGATGGAATTTATCGTTCTAAAATGTAATATCAAAATATCTTTAGAACCCATCAACATGAGTCCCAAGCCCCATCTCAACCCCAACCTCAAGTACCTTCTTCCCGACAACAAGATCCATCAGTCCCATACCGACACACTTGTAGACAACATTACAACCGACAGGAACATCAACCGCCCCCTCCGCAATCCCATCCGCCCCCAAAAGATCCCCCATCTCAACCAACTGCTCCTCCCCAAGACCCGCAGTAATCAACTCCCCAGCCTCCTCAAGACAAGCCGACTTAGAATCAACATAAACCTTCCCACCTCCCGAAAGCAGCGTCTCAGTATCAATCTCATGCATATTCGGCTTGTACGAGCCAATAAGCGAGATAAACCGCTGCTTAGGATTCTTCTGCAGCGCCTCATATCCAAAATTCGGCACTGTAGCAGGCGTACAACTAAAGATAACATCCGCAGCAGCAAGTTCCTCCCCGAGCCTCTGCTCATAATCATCAACACCCTCCTTAGCAAGCATCCCAAATACAATACCAGGGTAAGTATCCCGCAACTCAGAAACAACATCCCTCTCCATCTCGGCTAGTCTCTTCGCACCGCGATTCACAAACGTGACCCGCCGCACCTGTTCCGGGTACAGCAAGAGCGCAAGACGCGCATGCCACTCCGCTTGCCGGCCACTGCCGAGAACAAGCACGTTGTCCTTGCGAAGGGTGGTGCAGCGCACGAAAAGCGTCATTGTTGCCAGCGCTGTGCGGAAGGCTGTTACTTCTGCCGCGGCAAGCAGACCCTGGAGTCGGCCTTCTGGGTTGAAGATATTGATTACGCCTTGGATTCCGGTGGCACTGGCAGTTACGACTTTTATGCCGGTGGATGCGGTGTCCGATACCGGCATGAAGATGCAGGTGTTGTCATTGCTTGTGCTGAAGACTGTTCGGAGGGGTTGGTGGATTTTTTTGGCGGATGATGGGGTTGAGGGATTTGATTCTTGGGTTATGCTGATTAGGGCGTTGGCGAGTGCTGAGATGAAGCTGTGGCATTGGTCTTGTGTTAGACCGCGGAAGATTTTGGAGACATTTGGTTCGGAGAGGATGTGCATTTTTGTTGGGTTTTTGGTTGTTGTTGTACTTTGGGATGTTTGAAGAATGATTTTCTCGAGGCTCTTTTGAAATATATCAATGAGATGCTGAGGCGATGCGTAGAATATATGGGGGCTAGAGATCGGATAGACCCTCCGACACATGAGGGGCAAGTTAACCTGGTGGGGACAATATGCCGGTGCCGGTGGACATTATTAGATTAATCTCTGGCCTGATTTCTTGATTTGATTTCTATTTTGACTATAATCTAAGAATACCATCACTTAATATAAACATTTTATTGATGAATTATCGGAATGAAGCCTTAGTCATTCCAATATCACGCCTGGGCGTGCGTAGGATATAGTGCTTGCCCAAGCTAGCACTTAGGGCTGCTCAGTATGCCTAGGGCACAAGATCAGTGCTGATGGGTGCGATTATACAGTCCATTTATAGCCGCTTCAGACAAAACTAGTAACTGCCCGCTGGAGTACATAAAGACCGATTTCTAACATTTAAATTGTCTTTCTCCATCCCCCCTTCATCTCGTAGCCGTTCTACAGTCCAACTCGGCTACAATAATTGTTTTTGCATTGTCCCCTTCCAAAATTTCTTCTGGGCAACTTTCATATTTCATTGCCGTTATGCTGGGCAGCTTCTTTTCTATTCAATCTCTTAAAGCGGGTCACCTTAGCCTGATTGCTACCGAATGCTATGACTGCTTTATAGTCTTATACTCCCTACGATAGGTAAAAATAGTGCCTACTGCCGAGGTTCATCTTTGACGTCGCCGAAAACTAGAGAAAAGCATTGTTTAAAAGCGATATGCGGTATCCACGAAACCCAAGTCTAAGTGCCTGAAGAGAAGATAGATCAAGGAAGTATTTTTTTGGATGACTGTCCTCAGCTGGGTCAAATGAATCAAGGGATGGCTTTTGGTCTGCAAGGGGCGTTGTTGGTAACACATACCTATATCGGTGTATTGACTGTAAGGGAATCTCCCCATGAGTTGTTGATATTTATGGTCTGGATTTCGGTAACACTTTTGGAAGTGTCCACAATTTCGATCTCGTATTCGGCTTGGTTGATGGTGCTATCATTGCTCTCCCCAAACGACCTACTCGTGATCAAAAGGAACCAGATTGGGACATCCATCTCACGTTACCGGCCAAGGATCTCGAAACACTTATCGGAGATGATCTCATTCGCTGGTTGATGGGCCGGGGAGAGTGACTTGTCTCATCTTCATTCTATAACTATAGCATTCTCTTCAAACGATAATATAATGCGAAGGCAATGGGCCCGGTGTGAGTGATTCATGCTAAAATTAGATCCACTCTGGAAGGAGAATAATTATCTGCTACATCGCGCCTGAGAGGCAGATAGCAACAATTATGTGAAAAGCATCCTATGTTTTATTGCCAAAAAGAAAGAAAGTGTCCCATCCCAACTTGTTATTGAAAATCAATAGAGAGGGCTTCAAACTCGGAGGCGGGTCGGATATCAAAGTAACCTTCGAACAAAGTGAGTCAAGTGCAGTAGATCATCTACGCTAGGTAGACTTCAGACCCAAATGGCCGCCAATCTCCTCGAAGTTACTGGCCCAGTAGGTCCCAACGGGTCCATCCTTGATCGGCCAGTTGCTCCGAAAGCCAAACATAGCCTGGCTCCTGTAAGACATGGTCTCTGCAATCTCGCGAGGGATCGATAGTGGATGTGCTTCCTCCGTCATCAGACCTTTGCGGGCGAGGTGGATTGTCACACCACGGCGATACTCATTCGTCTTGTTCTCTCCACCACCATGAACGAGTCTGCCGGAAAAGAGAAATCCATCGCCGGGGTTGATCTCAACTGGCAGAAGTTGGGGAGGATTTAAATTGTTTAGGTCAACGTCAAGGTGCGTTTTCGGGGCCACTCTCGTGGCGCCGTTGGCCTCCGTAAACGGGGTCAAGGCACAAAAGAAGTTAATGCAAGCTTCTGGTCCTGGAGATGGAATCAGGTCCCAAAATGGCCATACACTCTGATCTCGGTGCAGTGGTTGTGCCGCGTTACCGGGACCGATCTCAATCACTTGCGCACAGTTGATATGATACCCATCGCCAGGATTGTCACATAAAATTGCTTCACTCAGGGCGTGCATCAGATTGTTCTCCAACATCACCTCGCGGAAAGTACGGCTGTTTGGCACCAATGGCAATCGTTTTGTGTTCGTGCCCAGAAACTCTTCTAGCGGCAATCCACCCTTACCGGGAGCAAGTTTTGCCAGCCCAGGATCAATATCCTCATTCATAGAGGCAACATCGGATGGACTGAGAAGCCCCCCAATAATTACACATCCATATTCTTTGTACACATCAATAATGGCCTCAGGTCTCGCTGAGACTGGGAGTCGCGGGAGACTTGGTGGTTTCATCTTGTCCGTTTTGCTGTTTGATCTTCACCTTCGACAAGGTGGAGGGCGTAAACAGCTTCGATCTGGTATATCTTGTGACTAGGTGACAAATTTTAGATCAGACAGAGGGCCTGAACGAGAATGGTTCTTGACATAGACGGGAAAACGGGATAATGTACCAAGCGTCAAGTGTGTTATTATGCTCTATCCATGTCATATGGTCATCCCTTGATTCCACACCAACGGGCCCTAGACTTCCGCAAAGCCCACAAATAGGCCCGAACCTCGGGCCTATAACCTAACCCGCAGTGGGCTATAGGCCCGGCCTTCGAAACCCAACCCAACCCACTAGGCTTTTATGGGCCTATAAGGCCCCTATAAAAGCCCATCTTACCAGCCTCTATAATCGCTATATTACGACCTCCCACTAGTCGTATAAAGTTCAAATTCTGAGTCTAGGTTTATATTAGCTACATAAGTATATGCTTCAATTTGAAATAAAATCCGATCGGTGGAAGTTAAGATATTATAGAAAATGTGAAAGTTGATATTTGAATGTTAAGATATATATTTACGATTTATACGGGAGTACTAGGAAGCCGAGGCAAGACTGCCACCCGTTTGGCGTCCTTGCTCTAACAAGTACAGGTTCCTTTCTTGTTGGCTTCCAGCTGGAACACCCACCGGCTCATTCAAAACCGTCCACTTCGACTGGCTGAAGAAGGTGATATGATCGAATCCCTTTCAACGAATCATCTCCGATGCCATGCCCCTCTTTCGACTATGTACATAGTCGACCCACATTCTCCGGAGTTGATGCAACCCACACTCGAGTGAATCGATTTAGTGGTACATCTCGATCATGTTCTCCTCTCCTAGATCAATTCCGAGAAAGGAGATCCCATGATGGGTGAGGCCCACGCCCACCTGGACTCAATTGGCGGCGTCGAGTATGTCGTTCTTCGTCCGACGTGGTTCATGGGTGAGTTGAGTCGAGACCTCCGCAAAGTCCATTAATGGGCCCGGACCCTAGGCCCACGGCCCAACCCACAGTGGGCTATGGGCCCAACCTTCAAAGCCCATTTTGTATATAACTAAAGCCTTGGCATATATAAAAATAGCTGATTAATGCTAGTTCTGTTACGTGTAACTCGGCCTATATACTCGGTACGGATCTTGGGGGCCTAAGGTCGTAAAGGTAGATGAACGTAGTAAGCAATTATCTCCTACACGTCATTTGTTTTCCTCTCCTCCACGTAACTTCTTCTTCACCTATACCTACCACTACTTACAAACCTACGCTAAGCTTTGCCTTAAAGATCTCTCTAATACAACAGTCTATAGAAATTAGTATCTGTTTTCCTTTCTGGGTCATCATATGACCCACAATATAGGGCTTAAGAGGTAAATTTAGGATAGAAGAGGTAATTAGAATACCTAAAATTACTAGGGATATATGCACTACTTATGTAGTAGCGAAAAATTAGTATGTTTGCATTGTTTAGCTCTTAATGGGCCCGAATGGGCCCCCATTTAAAGCCTAATGGGCTTTTACCTCGGGCCCAAAACCCAGCCCATTCGTGGGCTGGCTTGGGTTGGGCTATGGCTTTGCGGTCTAGTTAAGTCTGATCATTCGGAGAGTCGACCATGGAAAATGATGGCTAAACATTATAGAAAACCAACTCCCCGATCACAATATGTCCTGGATCTATAACGACCGCAAAATATATTCCGCTACAGGGGGCGGCAAGATCCCCTTTGGGTCTGCTAATGATATCGCCCACGTCGCCTTCTCGGCCATTACGGGCTGGCTAAAAGATATAGTAGTAACGAGGGAAAATAAGAACGAAATAGGAATTTCTAAGGGTAGTAACTATTTCAAGTATACTGCCTATTTATGCGCCTTACCTTAATTCATATAACTAACTTACTATATATAAAATCTAAGCTCCCTATTTAATGAGGGCTCGGGTATTATTGCCCTATCTCTATCATGATAACTTTAACCTACTAGTAATTAACACGACCTAGGGACCTAGTGACCACTTATTCCGATTCAACATAGAGACCGAAAAATTAAATTAAATACGTGATTCTTCTTGTGCCTTCCGCTTCAATATCCTTCCAAGTGAGGTGCAAAGAACGTTTCCCCCAAAGATTCCAGTGTAATGAGAAATGTGTAGAATACTTGATTTCAGGGCCTGCATGCCCACCACAATACTTACTCCGTTTCAATCACCAAATTATGTCACCGGCTGGCTCTTTTTCAAAGGCATCTCGAAGGAGACAGGGTGGTCGCGACACATGTCCTTAGAGAGCGGCCTAGAGATTGGGACACTGAAGTCCGCTAGAAGAAGAAAGAAATAAGAGTTAAACGAAAGTATCATGGGACCATTTGGAAAAGAGGAAACATACACATCGGCCAATCTCCGGTTTCAAAGCTCTGGAGATAGACGCTCAGATAGGGGGACCCTTTTCGGTAAGAGAAGGAAATGTAGGCGTGGAGATAGTTGACAGTGTCATGATTCAAGTGAGGGCTGGAGATATGTCAGATAAAGCTTGTGGTCATAATATGGCGTTCGGTGTAAGATTAGCCAACTTACTAGTATGCACGCAGACTATCCCTGTATGTCTGCGCCATGCGGGTGTAGCCGTGGCGCTCGAAGAAAGTGACTAGCCCATCGGTCACTTGACTGTCGTTCATGCCGAAGGTCGTGAAATATATTTGGGGTTCTGGCATTGGGTCATCGTGGTGTAGTGTATAGTTCGCCATCAGAGGAAGCTGCTCATTTGGGACGCTTCCCAGCTTCAGAAAGGGCTCCGGGTATCCACGCAGACCCGCAGGGAGCTGGATTAGGTCCCAGAGCTCACGAATCATTTCCATCCCAGTGATTGTGGCTATATCATTGCGTCGCCCCCCCAGAGTCCACAGATCCTCCATTGCGTCCAGGGAGACGTTCATCTCCAGGAGGTATATTTTGATGCGAGACTTGCGTGCATCACAGAGATCGCAGGAGAGAAGCCGTGGAGTGGCAGTGCTGCTCGGCCCGCGAGAATAGACGTAATCTTCTAGTTCTTGGAGAGGAGTGGCTAGTGTAGGATACTGGCGACAGATGCGTTGAACAGAATCGAACATTAACGTTTGGATCGATTTCCCGGTGGCCAGAGACTTGAGGACAGGATAGATGTAAACCTTCAGCATAAAGACGCCACCCTTCAAATCTAAAGCAAGTTTGTTTTGGGTCTGAATATGGCCTGCGACCAACTTGTTCTCCAGCAGATAGGCTGCATCCTGATCGTTGACAGTGAGGTCATTCTTGAGATGTCTGAAGAACTCCAAATCAATGCCCTCCTGCAATGGAATGAGTCTGTCGAGCGCATCCCATATGGCATGGGTGTTGAATGGGTCCTTCAGCGAGCCAGTGGCACTATTGATGGGCTCATATGTGTATCGCACCATGGAGTGAGAGCAGTTTAAACTCAGCTCAAACGGTGTACCATATCGAGTCAAGACACTGAGCCATCGGTCGTTCATACGCGTCGGGTAGACACCCAGAAAGGGAATGATGTGTTTCAGATATACTCCAAGGATTTTATACTGGGAGTGGGTGTCATAACCAGCAACGTTAAGCATTTCCGCGAACATGGGCGCCACACTGTGCCACCATAGGATTTGATCATGGTGGTCAATGTCACTCAACTCAGTTATTGTCTTGTAGACGCTAAGGCGAGAGCAACTAAGAGTTTCGATAGAGCCCATGGTGCTTGTTGTTTGAATGTGATTAAAAAAGATAATATGATGGTTAAATACCTTATCCAGAGCCCATAATCAAGGGATAAGGCTCGTGAGTGCGCTTTCAACAACGCCAATCATGGTCTATGGTCTTGAATTCTCGATTTAGGAATACCGTAGTTACCGTTCATCGGATTATGTGAAGTGGCTCTGCCAACGAATCACACCTTCCAAGTAAGGGGTTTGGTTTCAGGTATGTCCAAAGCTTGTGACTGTGCCTCGCTATTGCATATGTAAGCTATCAGAAACGACTTTGATCCGATATCATATTTATACGGCCCTCAGGTAGCTGACTGGCACGCAGAAGACTGTTCCCAAGATTGTATTTGTATTTGTTTACTCCGTACATTTTTTCCAATTGGATACTTGCACCATAAGCTGAAATGATGTTACACTTGTTGGCTTCTGCGGGACTGGGAATTGTTCTCAGCTGGTGGTTGGTATACACGCAGGTAGAATCTTGGTCCCAATGTCGTTGTCAACCATCGGAATCATGTTGGCCGTCGGGACAAGAGTGGAACGTGTTGAATGAGTCGATGGATTTTAATCTTATTCCGCTAAACCCCATTGGATCTGTCTGTTACGAGCCGAATCTGAATCACCACGCCTGCGAGGAAGTCATGCACCTTTCGAAAGACAGTGGATGGAGGGCGGCCCAACCCGGTACGTCTTGGGCCTGACAATACATTGGCAAATCGTTTTCCACGCTTCAGCTAAACCGATCAACTATACAGGTGCATTACAGGATTGGATATGGGAGGCTGGCTCGTCCGATGCAGAGGCATGTCCATTAGGGTCCCAAATGGCGAACCACACCACGTGCCATCAAGGGCGCATTCCTCTCTATTCGGCGATGGTAAATTCAGCCAAGCACGTCCAAGAAGCGGTTTTGTTTGCCAATCAGCACAACCTTCGCCTCACAATTCGTAACACGGGCCATGATTTGAATGGACGGTCTAGCTCTGCCAACTCGCTGCAGATCAACACTCATAGTCTGCAAGACATCAAATTCCATGAGGACTTTCAGCTACACAATTCCCGTAAATCCCTCGGGCCAGCGGTGAGTATTGGGGCCGGTGTGATGATGGGAGACCTCTATGCTAGAGCAGCTGCCAAGGGCTATATTCCGGTTGGTGGCGACTGCCCCACAGTGGGAGCCGCAGGCGGGTTTCTCCAGGGAGGAGGAATCTCGGACTTTCTGAGTCTCCACCATGGACTGGCAGTGGATAACGTTCTCGAATTTGAAGTTGTGACAGCGAGTGTAAGTTAACCCCCACCGCCTCGGCTCAAGCCGTCAAAGACCCCATCCTAGGACCAGCATTCCTGACCTTCACGGCAGGGTGAGCTTGTTCTGGCCAATTCCATACAAAACCCGGATCTATTTTGGGCACTGCGAGGAGGTGGTGGTGGCACATTTGGAGTCGTTACTCGAGCCACCGTGCGGGTCTTCACTGATGTCCCTGGCGTGGTTGCCGAACTCGGTTTTCAGGCAACCCATTCTCATGGAGATTGGTCTCAAGCACTGGCGTTGTTTTTCACCATCTTGCAGTCGCTAAACCGTGAGAATATTGGTGGACAGCTGGTCATTGCCGTGCTACCTAAGCAAACCATCCAGGCAAGCCTCAGGATGTTCTTTCTCAACCGAACCGAAACTTTGAGTGTCGATCAGCGCATGCAGCCATTTGTCGACGAATTGAACCGCATAGAGAGAAAGGTGACGTACAAGTCAACGGAGTTCTCCACGCTCAGCAGTAACTATCGACAAGTCCCTGACGTTCACACCGACAATGATTACAGTGTACTCGGGTCCACAGTTGTGATTTCGAATCAATTGTTTAACTCTTCCGAGGGACCCTCTCACGTGGCACGGGCTCTGGCGAGACTACCCTTATCTTCAGGTGATCTGATGTTCACCAGTAACCTTGGAGGGCGGACTATGGAAAATGGGAATCTCGTTGACACATCCATGCATCCGGCATGGAGGGCTTCGGCGCAGCTGATCAACTTTGTGCGACCAGTCGATCCATCAAAGGGACGAGCGGCTGCATTTGATACCCTGACCAACGTTCACATGCCCTTACTTTACGCGATTGATCCAGGATTCCGGCTGTCATATCGAAATGTGGGAGACCCAGGCGAGAAAGACTTCCAGCAGGTCTACTGGGGAAGAAACTACGCCCGCCTCTTACAAGTCAAGCACATTTGGGATCGGCATGGACTGATGTTCAGCAAACTAGGGGTGGGCAGCGAGGAATGGGACTCGGAGGGCATGTGCAGGGTCCACCCGGCGCTTATTCGTTGGGCTGCAGATAGGCTCCGCAAATTAGCTTATGTGGTGCATATCTGATATAAAGGCAGCTGATGTGGAGCCGAACAACTAGGAAATATAGCCCGTGGTATCTGACCGCCACCTGGCCAGATGGGCACCTCCAGCAGTTACATAAGCTCGAGGGATCAAATAGTTAAGTCTCGTCCAACAACAATCATCATTAAAATCCATGGTATCCGGTGAATGAAAGAAAGTGAAAGATGACGTTTGTTAAAATGCGTATTCTTGACATTCGTCGTAGCAAATTTGAGGAATCCATTCCCGATCAAGTCACAGCTGGGCTGTCAGAGACGTGCAAAACCCTCCCAGCTCTTCTTTTCTACAGTGGTGAGGGAATCCGACACTGGGTTAGACATTCTACCGCTCCGGACTTTTACCCACGACATGAAGAACTGCGCATACTCCGTGCTCGAGCGGCGGAGATGGCCGCATCGATTGCCGACAACAGTGTAGTGGTTGATCTCGGAAGTGCGTAAGTACAAAGCCTAGCCCAATTACCATGCAGTGCGTCAATTGATAGCTAAAACTGCAAATCAGGAGCCTGGACAAAGTTCTGCCTTTGCTGGAAGCGTTAGAGGCCGCGAAGAAAAGCGTCACCTACTACGCACTGGACCTGAACTTTTCGGAGCTCCAGTCTACCCTAGAGGCTCTGCCGATGGAACGTTTTGAGTCGGTGAAATTTGGTGCACTACATGGAACATTCGATGACGGGGTGCAGTGGTTGAAAGATACCCCAGGCGTGCAGGACTTACCGCACTGTCTCCTATTATTCGGGCTGACGGTGGGCAACTTTTCGCGGCCTAACGCCGCCAAATTCCTGCAAGACATCGCATTGGGAGCATTGGCCTCCAGTCCGGCTGACAGCTCCATTCTCCTAAGTCTGGACAGTTGCAAATTACCAACGAAAGTGCTGCGTGCCTATACCGCCGACGGTGTGGTCCCCTTTGCGCTGGCATCTCTCACGTATGGAAACAAGCTGTTTGCCTCAGCTGGGGAGGACGGTCCAGTCTTCCATGTCGATGACTGGCATTTTCTCAGCGAATGGAACTATGTTCTGGGGCGACATGAGGCGTGTCTCATCCCCAAGGGCCAGGATATAAGGCTGGGCTCCCCCCTAAACAACATTGTCGAAAAGCACGAGAAGATCAGGTTTGGGTGCAGCTACAAGTACGACGCGAATGAACGAAAAGACCTGTTTGGATTAGCTGGATTGGATAACGTGGCCGAGTGGTCGTTTGAAGGGTGTGATGTTTCGTTTTACCAACTCAGACTAAGTCCCAATTGAGATATGTGACCCTTGCTTATCTTGTAATGCTCCCTGGATATGATGTATAGAGATACGACAATACAATATGGTGCGGTGTAGTAGAGTTGCTGCATTTGATGACAACTGTATGGATTTAAAGACCCCCGCTGAACCACTCCATCCTACACCATTTCGTGGTACCCAATATTCTTCCAAACAATGGCATCGGTTACTTCCAAGATTTTCGCCATCACGGGCGGTGCATCCGGAATCGGCGCTGCGACGTGCCGTCTGCTTGCTCAGCGAGGAGCGGAAGCAATCTGCGTTGGAGACCTTTCGTCTGAAATGATGGCAGAGCTGAAGACATCCATACAAGCCACGTACCCTCTTACAGATATTCATTGTACTGTTCTTGACGTTTCATCCTACTCTGCGGTGAATGAGTGGATTGACAGCATAATGACCCAGTTTGGGCGACTGGATGGGGCCGCCAACATCGCCGGAATGGCTCAAGGGGCCGGAACCCGCGGCTGCCCGACCATCCTGGAAGAAGACGAGACACAATGGAAGCAAATTTTCCAGGTGAACCTGGATGGAGTTTTCTACGCAACTAAAGCCGAGGTGAGGGCTATGAAGTCGATATCGCGGGATCGCAGCATCGTCAATGTTGCCAGTATCGCGTCGATGGCACACATGCCAGATGTCTTTGCCTATGGGACATCCAAAGGGGCTTGTGCTTATTTCACGACCTGTGTAGCACAGGACGTGATTCCCTTTGGAATCCGGGTGAACACTGTCTCTCCTGGTGAGCTTTTGGTCTCGTTTTAAGAATACGTTTGAAGCATTATGTTAATTTCTCTGATTAGGAATTACAAGGACACCAATGCTACCCAAATTTGCGCCCACAAAAACTTCGGATGAGGTGGAAGAGGCCTACATAAAAGAAGGGTTCTCGATAATTGAACCGGATGATGTTGCCCGAACTATCATCTGGCTATTGAGCGAAGACTCCCGTCCGGTGTTTGGAGCTAACATTAATATTGGAGCTAGTATGCCTTGATATTTCACATTCTTTGTTACTTTTAATGCTCCATCACATTTCTGTGAGTGGAGTTAGGTACCAAGCATTACACGGTGTGTAAGATGTGCAAATACTCAGATTCAGACTGATTACTCAAGATGCAATGCAAATCTATGCATTGAAGAAGGGAACGCTCAAGGGAGTATGCTCTCTGGGATACGGGTCGATTCAGCAGTCGTAATGCAGCTTCATACCCCCTTGGCATACGAAGCGAACAGGGACAGCAACCCAAGGAGTCAACCAAGAGAGGTGTAGGAGTGTGTATTGTCAATCTGTAAACTATCTACTACTTGTAACCTCCGAAGCACTAGTTGCACCAGCTGTTTACATAAATTATCCGCTTGCATAAATGAGAGGAAAGGTGCAGGCGCATCGTAGTGGAGGACTACGTCCCCCACTACAGCATATATCTTGAACGGGCATAATAGACGGTGAGGGCTGAAGATACAATCTTCGGCCGTGTGTGCCGGTCAATGCTATGTACAGTAAGGGATTGAAAAGACACCTGCAAGGAGATATTCATCTTCAATTACCAAAAGGGGTTGGTAGATCATTGTTGCTTATAAATGACATATACAATGAGAATTTAGCCCTTAGCCTACTACAAATTTCCATCAACATAATCCACTCCAACTCTTTCTATCAAACGAAAGATGTCTCCAAACGATGCAAAGAAATGCCCCGTCATGGGACACGCACCCTCATCAAAGTCCAGCGTTGGACCCAAGGATATTTACACTTTGGAGGCATTGTCCCATTTCAATCGAGAAAAGATCCCCGAGCGAGTCGTCCATGCCCTGGGAGCCGGGGCTTACGGAGAGTTTGAGGTAGGTTGATTCTGTTACTCAAGATCTTAAACCGAATTTAATTACATTTCTAACATTGAACAGGTGACACACGACATCTCCGACATCTGCAACATTGACATGCTCCTTGGGGTCGGCAAAAAGACACCACTGGTGACACGCTTTTCCACAACTGGTCTGGAGCGGGGCTCTTCAGATGGGGTACAAGATCTTAAGGGCATGGCCACTAAATTTTTCACCAAGGATGGGGACTGGGATTGGGTTTTTCTCAATTTCCCGTTCTTCTTCATCCGTGATCCCGCCAAGTTTCCCGATATGATTCATTCGCAACGAAGGGACCCCCAAACCAACCGACTAAGCCCTAACCTGTTCTGGGACTTTGTGACGAATAATCACGAATCGATCCATATGACGCTGCTGCAATACAGTGACTTTGGCCGGATGTTCACCTGGCGCACGCTGAGCAGTTATGCAGGACATGCATTCAAATGGACCATGCCCGATGGTTCGTTCAAGTATGTCCATTTCTTTCTGGCTTCGGACCGTGGGCCCAACTTCACAGATGGTGCCGGCGTACCCATGGATCGTAGCGATCCTGATTTCGGAAGCAAAGACCTCTTTGAAGCGATCGAGCGTGGTGATTATCCAACCTGGACAGCCAATGTGCAGGTCGTGGATCCGAAAGACGCGCACCGTCTAGGGTTCAATATTCTTGACGTCACCAAGCACTGGAACCTGGGCACGTATCCCCAGGGCCTGGAGAAGATTCCCTCGCGACCTTTTGGCAGGCTCACTCTGAACCGCAACGTGAAGAACTATTTCACGGAGGTCGAGCAGCTGGCCTTCTCACCATCGCACATGGTTCCGGGCGTCGAGGCTTCCGAAGATCCGATCCTACAGGCGCGCATGTTTGCGTACCCCGATGCGCAACGGTATCGTCTAGGGACTATCCCATCAACTCCACCGACTCGCACGCCATCGGCCCTAAAGTCGGAGGCCGGGCTGGGCCCGGAGTTCGCCGAATGGGTCGCGCAGGTATCTTCGGACGAATGGTCTAGCTCTCATGCGGATGATTATAAGTTTGCGCGAGAGTATTACGAGATCCTTCCGGACTTTCGGAGTCAAGATTTCCAGGATCGAATGGTAGAGAGGATTGTTTCCTCGGTGGCGCAGACCAGCGAAGAAATTCGAAACAAGGTGTATCGCACCTTTGCCCTCGTTTCCTCCGAGTTAGCCACCCGGGTGAAGGAGGGGGTTGAGAAAGGTGATGAAACTAGTAAGGTACAAGGTATCCAGTCGAGGTTGTAGCTGCAATAGTATAGTTGGCCACGAAGATATATTCTTCAAGCCTAAGAGCCCAGTGATAAAACAAATGTTAGAATTTCGGATCCTATTAATACTCAATTTAGCATTAGCTTGGCAGATAGCATCTATAGTGCTTGTACATTCCTAGACGGAGCGAATAGAGTTGAAACTGCAGCCGGCATATATATATATGGCTAGAATAGCTCTGGTCTGATTTCTTAATCTTACTCCTATTGTGACTGAAAAATAATCTAAGAATACCATCATTTCATTTTAAAATATTCATTTCATTGATCATCATTTGAATGGACTTCCAAAGTTCTCATAAAGCAATAGCAACGCCATGAAGGATGCACCCATATTCGCAAATAAAAATGCGGCAAAAGCAAAATGCGGCAAAACAGCCCGTGGGCTGCTAAGTAAAGACAAAACGATCTAGATAGCCTCCGAAAATCGAAAAGGAAAATCAGGGAAGACTCGAATATCACTTGGTGCTGCGGAAAGCATTGGCACAGCGACGCTTCAACTCAGCGAACATTGCGATCTGAGAGTCCTTGGTACGGCCAACAGCCTCAGTGTTCTCGACGGCACGACGAAGCAGGAAGCCCATGCATTCCTGAACCGAGCCCCAGGTCAACAGCTTGAAGACGTTGGGGGCATCCATGGGGGTAACGCCGACACTGTTCTCGGCACTCTCGAATCCTTGAAGCAATTCACAGCTAACTTCGTCGGCCATGCCTTGGAGCTGAGCATAGCTAACGTCGACACCGTAGTCCTCGCCACGGGTAGCCTGCTGCATGCGCAAAGCATGAGCCTTGCGAACGGACTCACGGCTGTGAGTAGCAATGATGATATTCAGGGGCGGGAGTTCAGTCGGGGTGTCCTTTGAGGGAGCCTTGAGCATGGAGTTGTACTTGCGAGTGAGGAGGGCCTCGACGACTTCATCGTAGCACTTGTCAGTCTCCTCCTTCTCGGCCCAGATGAGGTGGCGGGGTTCAGTCTTCATGTAGGCACCACGGACAAGCTTGACGCCAAGTGTGTATCCCTCAGCGCGAGCAGTCTCAAGGTGACCGGCCAGAGTGGCAGGGGTAGAGCGCAGGTAGGCTTGGTAAGTTCCGTAGAAGATGGCACGGCCAGGGGTCTGCGAGTTGCAGTATTTCTGATACTTCATGATCCAGGCCTCAATGCCGGGCTGCACGGCTTGCTCTTCGGCATCGACCAGCAGGCGGACGCCACGGGAGATGGCAAGATCGCAGACCTTCAGGATAGAGTTGTCCATGATCTCTGTGGGCATGGTCTGCGACTGCAACAAGCGAAGAGCGTCGTTACCCATTCCAGTGAATCTGAGAAGTTCAGTTAGTGACTGTTTCAAACTGAGAACAAAGGTCATCACACATACTTCAAAGCGACAAAGTCGCCGGGTTGAGCCATGTCAACTGTCTGCAGTGTGCCATCCATCCACATCTGAATCTCAGCCAGAGCAGCCTTCTCGTCGTATACGGCATCGGAGTTCTCGCCAACGAGGACCTCTCGGGCATATCCCAGGAGTACACCACGGCATCCGAGTCCTTTGATTTGGTTGATCGAATTCTGCACCTCGAGTTTGTTCTCGCCAGCGTTAAATTGTTTATAGATGGTGTGCTTGACAAGCATGTTCAGCAATGGGTTTTTGGAGACATCCCAGAACGAATTGCGTGGATGAGCCAGCAAAGACAGGGTGTAGATGCATGGCTTGAGTAGTAGAGATGATGACGAAACAGATAGAACCAGCAAGGAGCGTAGAACAGATGACAACGGCAGCTTAGCCAGGGGCGCTGTCAGTGCCTTGCGGGGTAGTGCAGGCGGGGCTTTTGTTTGTGATTGCCATACGTTGGCGGCTGAAACTGAGGCGACTGAGGATCGAGAGTTGCTGGTGCCGCTCACCAGTCTAGTGGTTTGTGCGGCGGCCTTGAGGGGCGCACGCACGGAAGGTGCACCTTTCATAGGTGCGGTTAGACGTAGTAATGTGAGATGATTATTGGATGAGGGAAGGCAAGGATGTAGATTTAAAGTGAGTCGAAAGTGAAAGACTTAGACTTAGAAATGGTTGAAGAAACAGAAGAGCCACGGTTGAAGGCGACCTTTTAGATATGGCGATCTGTTGGTGGAACTTATTGGGTAAGAGCCGGTGGCAACCGCAAGGTACACCGGTACGGTCAGCAGTCCCATCTTGACGGGCCGGCCTGGTCTGACATTTTTCTATGTATCTATGGATGGCATTGCTATTATTCATGCTTGAAATGCTTCTTTGAACTATACCAGACATTAAGATATAAAATTATAACGCCACGATGATTTACGATCGGTTCAAGGCTAGGGAGATCAAAGTGTCCGAGCGAGAATGACGCTTTGATATTCGCCTCTCACTTGCAATCTGCAGCCAACAGTAGGTTCGCAAATTCAACATGCCGAACGGTTACGGGCCGGTTTGATATTGGGACATGGCCCACTGATAAGCGATAAGCAGAAGTGACCGGGCCGGTGTTCCAGAAGTTTTTTTGTACTCGTGACTTGCTGGTTATTTTCGGCTTAGTGCTTCCCAGAATGTTCTAGTAAGCTGTTTCAATTCAGGGATGCATTCCAAGACTTTATCTCTGATTTTATATTTAGAGTCCCAAGTCCGCCTGTTTTACCCCGGATTCTTCCCCATACTCATACCACGTGATCTCTGTGGCAACCTTGGAAGCGGGTGGCAAATGTTTAAAGTCAATTTATTCTGCCCAATCGCAGACCACCACTTTACCTTTAAAGAAAGTCTTGGGGCTAAACAGAACGCTAAAAGCTGCCCAGGTGGGAACATTTATCGCGACGCAATGTGTCAATGATAAGATAAGAACATGTGACATTGACGGGAGAATCCTGCCCGAACATGTATGAAATAAAACCAGATAAGGCAGGTCACCCACACCAAGCTAGAACTAAAAGGTAATGTGGGCGCCGATCATCTCCAGAAACTCACTCGTCCCCACAATGGCGCATTCTTCTAGATCTCTTTCGGGCATTGGGCTTACCGTTTCATAGTGCTTGATGGATACATGCGCTTAAAATCGCCGATTGACGGAGAAAACTCATTTCCAGACCTTGACTAAATCCCCCTAGGCTCAAAAAAGTATCGTTCTAGAGGGGAGCTTTCTCCCATTGGAGCACACTATCATGGCGTTTACTATGTCTCATCTGTAAAGATAACGCGTTGGGGGCTATATTGGTTCGTCGTATACATAATAAGAATTGTGTCTTTCCCCGGATATTACAAGTTGATCTAGGCTTCTCCGCTGCCTAGAATTTTCAGTCTTATTGCTATTCTTCTTATCTCTCCCGAGTCGTGTTGTAGATTGGCCAAACCTCCTATTCCCCTTCGCACATCATGGAAGACTCTAAGAGTCTCGAGGCGGAGGTCCGTCCCATCTCTCCGTACGATGACCCGAAAACATTGCAGGGAGAGATCACAGGCGGTCACAACTCAAAGACTCAGCGAGGTTTGAGCTCGCGTCATGTTCAATTTTTGGCTCTGGGTGGTTGTATCGGCACAGGTCTTTTTGTCGGCAGTGGTGCTGCGCTGTCGACGGTTGGTCCTGGTAAGAACCTGCGTGCGAAACATAAGCTTGATATGGGGCTAATAGGTGATAGCTCCTTTGCTCATGGGTTATATTGTGATGTCAAGTATTGTTTACTTTATCATGAACATGCTTGCTGAAATGACTACCTATCTCCCTGTTCAGGGTGTTTCTGTGCCTTATTTGATCACTCGGTTTACGGAGCCCAGTCTTGGATTTGCGGTTGGTATGTCGAACCCACCTCTCAAGATTTAAACCTAATGCTGATTCAAATACTAGGATACAATTACTGGTAATTACTTCCTTTAAGCTCCGACCTTGGAAATCTGTCAAACTAATAGATGTCACTATCTAGGTATTCATTTTCAATGTTGCTAGCATCAGAAGTCACTGCATCCGGCCTTGTCATTGAGTATTGGCAGTCACCAGTCAGCGTGGGTGTATGGATCGCAATTATTCTCATTGGTGAGTACTTAGTGTCCCACCAGCCCAATATTTATGATATCTAACGAAATCACTCTAGTCATTCTCCTTCTTAATATTGTCGCGGTCTCTTGGTACGGTGAAGCGGAATTCTGGTTTGCATCACTTAAGATCCTCGCCATCCTCGGTTTGATCATCCTCGGAGTGATACTTTTCTTTGGCGGTGGTCCTAATCATGACCGTCTTGGTTTCCGGTACTGGCAAACGCCAGGTGCATTCGTGGAACCATACTTGGTCCCGAACATCAACACAGGCCGATTTCTGGCATTCTGGACCGCTATGATCAAGTCCGGGTTTTCCTTCATTTTCTCCCCCGAACTGATCACCACTGCTGCCGGTGAGGCTGCCTCGCCACGCCGCAACATCCCCAAGGCGGCGAATCGGTTTATCTACCGTTTGTTCGCATTTTATATCCTGGGAAGTCTGGTCATTGGCGTGACAGTGGCATATAACGATAAAAATTTGCTGCAGGGAGTTGCCAGCGGTGGGTCAGGTGCTGGAGCTTCTCCATTCGTTGTCGGCATCCAAAACGCTGGTATTTCCGGACTGAACCACGTTATCAATGCTGCCATCCTTATCTCTGCCTTTTCCTCGGGTAATTCTTGGGTCTTTGCTGGGTCTCGAACTCTTTACTCGCTCGCGGGTGAGGGCCAGGCTCCCAAGATTTTCCTTCGCTGCAACAAAAACGGTGTTCCGTACTACGCTGTACTCGTCACTTGGGCGATTGGTCTGCTCTCGTTCCTGAACCTGTCTTCCTCGGGTTCAACCGTGTTTTATTGGTTTACCAACATCACCACAATCGGAGGTTTCATCTCTTGGGTCGTTGTGGGAGTGGCATATCTAGTACGTTGGGTTGCTTTCTTTCTGTTCGTTTCATAGATAACTTGCTAACAGTATATCTTCAGCGTTTCCGCAGTGCTTTGGATTTCCACGGCCTGCTCAAGTCGCGGCCTTTCATTACTCCCTTCCAGCCGTATGGAGCTTACTACGCTATTGTCTTTGTGTCACTACTGGCTATTACCAACGGCTATACGATATTCTTCCCGGGCTCATTTACCGCCTCCGATTTCCTTGTTTCCTACATTGTCTTCGTGATCTTCTTCTTGCTGTACTTCGGCCATAAGTTGTATTACAAGACACCATGGATGATCAAGGTGTCGGAGGTTGACATTTTCAGCGGCAAGGACGAGATCGACCGACTTGAAGAAGAGGAGATCAAACCGCAGCCACGTAACTGGCTTGAGCGAGTGTGGTGGTGGATTGCATAGACACTGTTTGTCTACTGTTACATTCGGAACGTCCCTATCTAGATGGTGCTTTTACCGTACATATGATACCAGGTGCTAGAGATATAGATATTAGAGATAGATATGAGAACACCAATCAAGAGAATTATAGATGTTGTTTTTCCGTTGACTTTGTATATTATATAGTCTCCCTAGGCCATAAATAGATACTTTGGCTTTTGCTACGGTCGAGTTCTAATGTATACATCTAGCGCCGATCCGTTGATCTCTTCTCCATTTTTCCAAATCTAACGCAAGTTAATCGCCGCTATCAAGATTATCTGGATCTGCGGGGGAATATTGTTTATTATCTTTTGACTAATAAGAACTTCTATGAAGGACCAGGGCCCGGTGAACAAACGGAATTCTCTTGACAAAGCCGATATAGACGCCGGCCCGGTGGGATCCACCCGGGATACCTACCGGCAGCCTCTGATTGGCTGTTCTAGCCAATCCCAGGCCCGCCCGCCTTACCAGGGTAGCTATGAGCTTCTGACCGGTAGTAGCCGGCCCTTTTCATCATAGTCTCTTCCCCGCGTCTACTTCTTCTCTCCAAATCTTCTCTTTGCAAGTTTGGAAGAGTTAATTCATCGTTCAAACTATTATCATGATGTCCTCCATTCTGCGCACTCGCGCGCCCATTTCGCGCCTCGCGTGCCGAATTCCGAGCTCCGGTACACGCTCCATGGGCACTTATGCCACTTTCAAGGTGCCCACGATTAACAATGAACCTAACGTGAGCTCGTCATTGAAAATTCAGATTGTTTGATCATGCCGGCTAATTTTGAATCTTAAAGAAACACTATACTCCTGGCTCTCCAGACCGCAAGGGTCTCGAGGAGGCTTTGGCAAACTACAAGCAACAAGCCCCGTTGAACGTGCCTCTGGTTGTTGCGGGCAAGGAGGTAAGAATCAGCAAGAAATATTATATTTACTGGACAATTTCTGACATTCAATCACACAGCTCAAGGGATATGAAACCTTCACACAGTCTAACCCCGCAACCCACGCTCCTGTGGCAACTTACTCCAACGCATCCAAGGCCGATGTTCAGTCCGCCATTGATTCGGCTCTCGCCGCCCGCAAGTCCTGGGCCGATACTCCTTTCGCCGAGCGTGCTAGCATTTTCCTCAAGGCCGCTGATCTTATTGCGACCAAGTACCGCTACGATATTATGGCCTTGACCATGCACGGACAGGGCAAGAACGCCTGGCAAGCCGAGATTGATTCCGCCGCTGAGCTCTGTGACTTCTTCCGTTTCGGTGTGAAGTACGCCGAGGAGCTTTACGCACAGCAGCCTGCTCACAACGCTACCGGCGTGTGGAACCGTCTTGAGTACCGCCCTCTTGAGGGTTTCGTGTACGCGATTAGCCCCTTCAACTTCACCGCAATCGGTGGTAACTTGGCTGGTGCACCCGCTCTGATGGGTAACGTCGTGATCTGGAAGCCCTCGCCCTCCGCGATTGCCTCCAACTGGCTCGTGCACCAGATCCTCCTTGAGGCCGGTCTTCCCAAGGATGTCATCCAGTTCGTTCCTGGTGACGCCGCAGAGGTGACCAGCACCGTCCTGGAAAGCCGCGACTTCGCCGCTCTTCACTTCACCGGAAGCACTGATGTCTTCCGCATGCTGTACGGTAAGATCTCACAGGGCGTGGCGGACGGTAAATACCGCAGCTACCCTCGCATTGTGGGTGAGACCGGAGGCAAGAACTTCCACTTGGTACACAAGTCCGCAGATGTCCGCAACGCCGCAGTCCAGACCGTGCGCGGTGCTTTCGAGTTCCAGGGCCAGAAGTGCAGCGCCACCTCCCGTGCCTACATTGCCTCTTCGATCGCCGAGGACTTCGCCCAGCAGGTCGTCGCTGAGGTGCAGAAGCTTAAGATTGGCGAGCCATCCGACTTCACCAACTTCTGCGGTCCCGTCATCCACGAGGCCTCATTCAACAAGCTGTCCGGTGTCATCGATGAGGCCAAGAATGACCCCGAGCTTGAGCTGCTCGTCGGTGGAACCTACGATTCTTCCAAGGGATGGTACATCCAGCCTACCGTATACCGCACCTCCAACCCTGACCATCCTCTCCTTTCGCGCGAGCTTTTTGGTCCCGTTCTGGTCATCCACTCCTACAACGACGCCACCGATGCCGACTTCACCAAGATCTGTGAGAAAATCGATAGCACCAGCACCTACGCTCTGACCGGCTCTATCTTTGCCCAGGACCGTGCCGCTGTCCAGGTCGCTGATGAGGCTCTCCGAAACGCCGCTGGCAACTTCTATATCAACTGCAAGAGCACCGGTGCCGTTGTTGGCCAGCAGCCCTTCGGTGGTGCACGTGCTAGTGGTACCAACGACAAGGCCGGAAGTGCCAACCTGATGTCCCGTTTCGTCAGCTTGCGCTCCATTAAGGAGGAGTATGTTCCCACATACACCGTTGCCTACCCCAGCAATGCCAACTAATGGATAACTGTTCGCTATCCATGACATTCAAGTTGATATCGCATGCTTTATGATCTCATTGGCGTCAATCCTGCATCTCACCCCGGCGTTTTCCTAAATTGTGTCTCCGAATTTCCGAGGAATCCTCAAAATGTGTTTTTATTTCAAGTCTAAAAGACAATATACCAAATGTATCAAGAAAAATTATTTCAAAACTCATATATCATTATAAACATTTCACAGACAATTTGTTCTCAATCCGTCGCACAATTCTTCAAAAACTTCTGCATACTATCCATAGCCTTCGCTGCAAAAGGCCCCATCTCATACTTCTTCCCAGTCCCCTGTGGTCCACTATCAAAGATCTCCATCGAGAACCAACCCCGGAACCCCGTTTTGAGCACCGCCCTCGCAACGTCCTCAATAGGCAAATACCCGCCATCATACGGCATAGGCCTATAATCATGACTCCATCGACCCCTAGCCCTCAGCCCACTAATAGTCTTATCCTCCAACGGCGGTGACACCTTATACGCATCCGAGATCTGAAGCAGATAGATCTTATCACCGGGCACAGATTTCGCAAGCTCATCCATACTCGCCTCAAACCGCTTCCGAAGCTCAGACTGCGAGACCGACTCAATTAGACCTGACTCCGTAGTCGGGTCACCCCATTCACTACCCGCAGTCTGGAATGTATCCAAACACAACCCGCAATTCGGACGATCCACAGCTTTCACTATATCCCAGACTTCCTTCCACCCAGGCGCATGGGTTGACCAACACCAGTTCTCGTAGGCGAGGCGATAGTTGCGTTTTGCGAGGAGGTCGGATAAAAGGCGCAAGTCGGCGATGATGGCCTCGCGTTCCTTGTTGATTATGTGTTCCGGCGTGTCCGTTGCTCCGACCTGGATATATTATTAGCTTATCGCTCTCGGGAATTTTCCGGTGTTTATCATATATATATAGTTGTCATACCTGCAACAAATTCGTACCCACGACATTCATAATCTCCATCCAGCCTGTCGCTCTAGCAAATGCCTCCTCGCGATCCACGGAGCCCTTGACCCAGCCTTCGAAGTTCGCGAATGGCTGTAACATCATGATTTTCAAGTTGTGTTCTTCGCATAGTTTGCGGATCTCCACGGCCACGGGCATGATTGCGGTATAGTTGTCCGGCGCGATTGCGCTACCGGTGATCTGCGCGCCATAGTCTAGGATATCTGGAAAGGAGAGCTCAATTGCGCTGAAGCCCGCTTCGCTGATTGCTTGGAGTCGGAGCGGGAGTGTGTCGGTTGGACAGCAGCCGATTGAGCAGGAAGCGTATGAGAGGGGAACCTTTTGAAGGCTGGAGTAGGGGATTGACATTGTTCGTCTTTTCTCCTTTTGGAAACTTGAGGTCAAGCAAAGTGCTTATTGTGTTTCCTTATGTTTCGTGATGGGTCGTTGATGTCGGTAAAAACACACAATCCACTGGACGTATGGGGGGAGAGCTCCTATGAAAGGTTGCCATGCTTGGTACCATTGAGTATATATTTGCCTCACCTGTTGCTGTTTTGCCCATTCCTTCTTCATTCTGTGTCCATCGTGATGTAAGTGCTCTTGGTTAGGGCTTGTGTCGTCAGCAATGCATCATGTCAGCCCATATCGAGCTTGGCCACAATTTGAGTCTTTCATAGGCTCTACAACAATGAACTTTGCCTCAACTTGCCTCACTTGCCTCTTCTGCCCAGAAATGCTATCTACGCAAGAGGATACACACCCAGTTGACAGGCTCGTGGCGTGTCTGATTGCATATTGACAATGCCCCGGATCATAGATCCGATTGCCACAAGCATCTCGTTCAAGAAGAAGGAGAGTCGTCCCAAACACCTTCATGCAAATATCTCCCGCATATTTTGCTCTCGAACTTCGAATCGGGACCTCTGAATGAGTTAGTCTTACCGAGTCAACACCAACCCACAATGCCGCCCCCCATCAAAAGCATCGGTGTCGTCGGAGCCGGAAACATGGGCTCTATGATGACCCTCCGATTCGCTGAGCTCGGCCTCCTAGTCTCAGTCTGGGATATAGAAAGAAAGAACGTCGATGAAGTGGTGAATTACGCAAGAGACAATAAGAGCATCACAGGCCGAGTCCAGGGATTTTATGACATCAACCAATTTGCCAAGAGCCTAGAAGGCAAGTCCGACCGGAAGCTATTCATGTTCTCCATCACGCACGGCGAGCCCGCAGATGAAGTACTTCGCATGCTCAAACCCGACCTGAAAGAGGGCGATATCATCCTCGACGGCGGAAACGAGAACTACCGGAACACCGAACGGCGCCAGAAAGAGTGTGCTGCCATCGGTGTCAGCTGGATTGGAATGGGCGTTTCGGGTGGGTATCAGTCTGCACGACGGGGACCCAGTCTCTCGCCTGGCGGAGATGCCAAAGCCATTGAGCGTGTTATGCCATTCTTAGAGTCGTATGCAGCCCAGGATCCCAAATCTGGGACTCCGTGTGTGAAGCGCATGGGCCCCGGTGGATCTGGTCACTACATCAAGATGGTTCATAATGGCATCGAGGGTGGAATGCTCTCTGTTCTTGCTGAAACATGGCAATACATGCATGAGGGACTTGAAATGGACCATGGCAAAATCGGAGATGTCTTCGATAAATGGAACGAGTCTGGCGAGCTGCGAGGCAACTTCCTAATTAACATCGGTGCCAACATTTTACACACGCGGAGAACACCTAAAGGTGATCGCAAAGGCGAGGGAGCCAGCCGGGATGATGGATACGTGCTCGATGATGTGCTTGACAAGGTGGTTCAAGACGACGATAACACCGAAGGCACTCCATACTGGTGTCTCATGGAGTCTGCCGCCCGGCATGTCTCTTGTCCGACATTAGCGGCTGCCCATTACATGCGAGTCTCGAGTGGAAACCGCATAGAGCGAGCGCGCGCTGCGAAAAAGCTGGAGATGCCCATCCCGAAACCGATCGAGGGAACCCGGGACCACAAAACGATCATCGAGAATCTACGACAAGCTGTGTACTGTTCCTTCCTGGCGTCATTCTGCCAGGGCTTGGAGCTGATTTCCCGGGCCTCGATAGACGAAGGCTGGAATGTCAACTTGGGTGACTGTCTGCAGATCTGGCGAGCGGGATGTATCATTAAATCAGATCATATCGCCGATTTACTGCAGCCGCCGCTTGCCGTCCAGAACGAGCTGACCAACACCAAGTTTGTGGATGCGGTTGCGCATGAGTTGCGCCAGAACTTCCACAGTCTCAAGCAGATTGTCATGGAGGGGACCAAGTTTGATCAATATATTCCGGCTCTCTCAGCTACTCTGGAATATCTGAAGTATGAGGGTGGATTGGGACTGCCGACCAAGTTCATGGAAGCCCAGATGGACTACTTCGGTGCACACAACTATAACAAGCCTGGTCTTCCAGGTGAGGATCCAGGACCAGTACACAAGGGTCCTCATCATTATGAGTGGTTGCCGGCTTAGATTAGCCGGAGTGCATTACTCCAGAGTCCAGAGTCCAGACTCTGTATCATTTGTCACCTCAAATTGTATTTAGTAACCAAAATTGTACATCCGACTGCACGACAAAGAATCTTTTAGATTCCCTTCACGAATGGTCAACTACGACGATAGACATGTAGAGGTGGATGTAGAAGTGGTTTAAAGTTTTATAGATTGCCCAAAAAGGCAGGTGGCGGCCTCAGGAACTCGCAGCACGTGGGTCATTAGACAACCAATCGGAGGAGCGCAGGCTGGCCGCAGCCTCAGAGATTTGAAGATGGCGCAAGATGCGCTGGATTTTAGGCTTACGTTCATTCTCCTCTATATCTAAACCATTTCGTCGAATTGAGTCCACAAAACAACTCGCTCGCAGAATGGCTTCTCTCCCTACCACATACGACGGTACGTGTCCCTTCTGCCTCTCACATCACTACCCCTCACACCCCCACTTCGATAAAAAGCTGACGATAGTGAATCTAACAGGCCCCGTCCCAATCGCTGTCATCGGCGGCACCGGTCTGCGCGAGTTGCCCGGCTTCACCCAGGTAGCTTTGCTGAACGTCACAACCCCATGGGGCGCCCCTTCCTCGCCCATCACTATCCTGCACCACGAGTGTAAGCACAACAACAAGGTTGTCGCCGTCGCCTTTTTGAGCCGCCACGGCTTGCACCACCAGATCGCTCCTCATGAGGTTCCCGCTCGCGCCAACATCGCCGCACTGCGCTCCATCGGTGTCCGCAGCGTGATTGCTTTCTCTGCCGTCGGCAGTCTGCAGGAGGATATCAAGCCCCGTGACTTTGTCATCCCCGACCAGGTCATTGACCGCACCAAGGGCGTGCGCCCGTGGACTTTCTTCGAGGGCGGCATTGTCGCTCATGTCCCCTTCGGTGACCCCTTCGATGAGGGTATCGCCAAGGTAGTACGCGAGTGCGGACACAGCCTTGAGGGTGATGGTGTCGTCCTGCACGACCGTGGTACTCTGATCTGCATGGGTATGTGAAGCTATACTTCATTCCCCATCACAAAATATCGCTAACCATGTCTTTTGCACGACCCAGAGGGCCCCCAGTTCTCCAGTCGCGCCGAGAGCAAGATGTACCGCTCATGGGGCGGCAGTGTTATCAACATGTCTGCCCTCCCTGAGGCCAAGCTTGCCCGCGAGGCCGAGATCGCTTACCAGATGATCTGCATGTCTACGGACTACGACTGCTGGCACGAGGGCACTGCCGACGTGACCGTCGAGATGGTCATGGGCAACATGAAATCCAACGCCGAGAACGCTCGCCGTTTCGTGACTGCTGTACTTGATGCCCTGGCTAGCGATAAGCACGCCGAGCTGATCCAGGCTAAGCACCTGGCTGGTGGTATCAAGTTCGGTATCAGCACCCCGCAGCCTAACTGGAAGCCCGAGGCCAAGGAGAAGCTGGACTGGCTTTTCCCTGGCTACTGGTAGATCTAGTGGCTTTGGGATTGAGGCACATACTGTTTTCGCTTGACACTTGACGTGTATCTGATGATAGCGTATATGCATTATAGTTATGGAATACCTACATGATAGGCATGATTGATATGTGAATCTGGAATGATATGACTGCACGTTTAGTTCATTTATCAGAAGTCCTGGTTCTAGTTTGCACAGTGAACGGTGCAGAAAAGAAGGCATCCTAGGTGGTAGTCCGGAACTCGACGTGTGCACTCGAACACCCGAGCGTCTACCTGCAGAGTACAAACTTTTACTAACCAGGGTCTATCATATTCAAATCAGGCGACTCCCTAGGCCAAAGTAAGCCAAGGTAGGCGCTCAACTCCCGCTATATCAAAGATCCTTTGCCGATAGTAGTGTTAGTAAGAAGCCGCTTTGTCCCCTGAACGATCATCTCCGGTTGTGATTGGGGATTCTGCTTCTGAAGCTTTTACCTTTCGCGTCAGAATGTTCAGAACGACCGGATATAATCGCTGGGGAGGATACAGCGCCTTCTCACCAACACCATTATCAACAAAAGATCTCTGATATAGCAGGCGTACAACGCCTGCCTTGACCTAGAAATTCGCCTAATTTTAATATGGTAGAACCAGCGTGTTTCTAATTGAAAAGATATACCGCGAAAACGGGACTCTAATTCTAGAATTAAAGCAACCAAGCCCTTGGAGAAAGCATGGAATGAATTGCCTCAGCAGCAAACCTCTTTATATTGACAAGATTATTGCATAGGAGGGTTAAAAGAGTGTTCGAAAAAAAGGGAGTTTTAAGAGAGGTCAGTAGCAAAAGGACTATACTAGTTAGGACTAAATCAGTACTAGCGTCAAATGGCTCACTCATTCTTGGGAGCGACTCCATATATATGACAGAGATAGACACAGCAAGACAGAATACATGTTATATCAATCCTGCAGCTTAATCAATGGCGTGCGACTGGGGATTTTAGATAGAAGCGAGGCTGTCGCGGGACTCGCGGCCTCTACCACGGGATCTCCGTGCCTTCAATCGCGTTGAAAAACTTGCCCGAGTTCGTCTCCCGAGTCGCATTATTAATCTGACGAGTCAGTCTTTATCTTTCATCCTTCAAGATAGGGAAGGGCATCACGTACCAGGCCCAGAATGGCATCGATACTCTGGCGCTGGGAATTGGGGGCTTGGGGAAGGCCCATCCCGCGAGCGGTCTTGTTGCCGCTCTCCGTTTGCACGAGGCTGTTAGATGGTCAGCTGCTGTCCAAAATCTTCCATCGGAATAGTGTCTCAGGTTAATTACCCGGGATGCACGGCAAATGCGACGAAGCCCTTGTTGGCGCTGTGGATGGCACTGCATGTCCGCCGGAGTTAGCCGATTTCTTTCCCAGCCAGGGTAGCCTAAAGCTGACAGCATCTTACGTAGTAATCCAGTTCAAACCCGCTTTGGCAATTCCATACGCCGGGGCGATGTGAGCCCTATGAAGCTCAAGTCGGCCAATCGAACCTGCTGCACTGGTGACAGACACCCATTTGGGGGCCTGGGACTTCTCCAGTAAAGGTTTGACGGCCTGATACAGGGCCAGGGGACCGAGAGCATTTACGGTAAATACGTCGGTCACGATCTCGGAGCTCACCACGTCCAAGGGGATGATGCCCTTCTCACCGGCTCCGCCGGCATTGGCCACTACCACATCGATGTGGTCGATGTCCGTGAGATCCTTGATGGCCGCTGCCGGGTCAGCCGGGTTTCTGCTTTCAATCTTTACTATCTGCAGACGTGAGCCATCAGCCTTGGGCAAGGCCTCGAGCTCCTTAGCGTAGTCTGCGGCTGTGTCACGGAGACTAGCAATAACGGTGTGCTTAGGCCGGAGCAGGAAGGTTTCTACCAACGTCCGTCCGATTCCTATCTTCCGTCAGCTCGAGCCCAATAAGGCTTTAGGCAGAACTTCCCTCGACTAGCGCCGGTAACGAGAACCACGGTGTTTTCGGAGATAGTCATGGCGGGAAGATGGATAATAGAATGATTCAAGTAGGACTTGTATCTGGCAGCGTTGCAGTTGTTTCAATAGACTTGATGAATCGGATGGAGAGATAATTAGACAGCTTCATGTTCACAACCGCCTCTAAATAGCCAACTACGGGAGCTGTCGAGATGTAGCCCTATAGGCGATTTCTAATGCTTATGTGCTGTTTCACGGTTGCTTTGAAATCGGGACCTGAGGATGACTGACCATCATTGAGATTGACATGAAATGGACCCCTGTCTAGGGCTACGAGGGACTAGCGGATGGGATTGCAGTTCGTCTTATCCTCGCGATATCACGATAAGTGCTGGAGCAGCCTAGTGCAAATCATTACGGCAGTCTAGTCTCATGGAATACGGTCAGTGCGCATGACTTGAGTGCTGATTGGCCATATCCTCAGTATCACTGAGTATCATCGGACTGTTTAGTGAGTGCAATTAACCCTGTGCTGAGAGATACTCAGTGAGCAAGGCCTACGTAAGAACTTACCTGATTTAGCGCTTAGTTATAAACTAGTGATACGGGTATCATGTCAATTGATAGATATCCTATTCATCTTGAATATATGTGCTTTCGAGCCGTTCAATTTCAATCTAAACTGGTACTGGGTACATCATTCGCCAGTGATGTTGAGTCATGGCCTTTGCAATAAAGAACCGCACCCAGCGTAGGTCACTAATGCAGTCATCGTCCTCGGTTGCAGACCAAATTGATATGAAGTTATCTTCTGAATGTTGAGAAACCACCTGCCAGATCTCCTCATCTGTGCTTATGTCTTCCGAACTCGTGCTGCCTCGCCTGTCTATGTCTCCACACGGACGTGGAAAGGTTTTGGTAGGTCCCATCTGGCCATCTCGAGCAAGCATTCGATATTGCGACAGTCGATTTCTCGAAGAGACAGAAAACTGTTCACCAGAAGCTCTGTTTGGCAGCGTCTCCACCGGCAGAACGTCAGGGATGAGGCTGACAAAGTTGGCACAGGCGAAAGAACGAGTCTCAATGGCCTTCAAAAAGGCTTTCACGTATTTTGCCTGGCCTTGGGAAATAGCCAGCTCGAGAGGGCTTACCTTTCCCGGGCTCTTGAGTACGGGGTTGGCTCCCAGCCTGAGCAATTCCTCAGTCAAGCCAAGTGTCCTTCTTTCTGTAGTTAAAAACAAAGCAGTTCGGCCGTGTGAGTCCACTTGATTGATATCGGCACCATGCTCGATGAGCAACTGTATGGATGCGCGTGGGTGTACGTGGTCCAACCATGGGTGTCCATTAGGGTGATACAACTGTCGTATCCTCATGCGTTCATCGTCGTCTATGTCAACGACCCGGCCGTCCTCATGTTTCAGTGGTTGCAAAACTAGATGTAGCAACGGCGAGAGCTTCCCGCGGTGTAAATATGTGGAATTGACATCAAACCCTCTCTCAATAAATACCTGAATTGTTTCTGCTTTTTTATGGAGGGCAGCGGCGGCAAGTGCAGCTTTGCAATAGTCGTTGCCTGGATCCAGTTCCAAGTTCCATTGCGCAAGTACTGCTCGGAACTGAGTAACTGGGCAAGCGGCCGCCGCGTGCTCCAGGAACGAAGTAGGTTCTCTCCAACGTCGTTCAAAGTAGCCAAAGCAGGAGGGTATCTCATCGAATGGTCGCTTGCCCCCTTTCTCAATTAAGAACTTTGTAGCTTCCAAGTGGCCTACACGCGAAGCTTGAGGACCAGTGGAGCTTATCAACATCGAAATCACAATCTTCACATCTTGGGTGGTGAGAACATCGAAAATACTTTCCATCGCGGGTATAAACTTGTCTAGATAGGAAGTTGCATACAATGCAGCTGTGGCCAGACCCTTGAAACGCCTTTTTCCAGCTTTGTCGAGAAGCCTGAGCACAATTGCTTCTTCTCCTTTGTGTGCCGCAGAGGCCACATCCAATCTGGAGACCGGATAATCTGGGCAACGAAGAAAAGTCTCCATTATTTCGGCATGCCCGTTATTCATTGCACAGACCACGGGTGTGTGGCTTGCATTGATTGTGATCGCGTCATGACAAACAGTACCTCCGCAAAAGTTTTCGGCATTTGAAGCCCACAGGTTGGGTGATGATTTAAAAGTTTTGCGGTGGAGCTGTGTTTGGGACGAGACAGGCCTACCCCCCTTATCGAGTAGTTGTCGAGTAAGAGACACGTTTCCAGTCTCTGCTGCCACAGCAAGCAGATAAGCTTGCTCAATTGGAGTAGTAGTTGCGAGTTTTGTTTCCAGATCGATTCGGTCAAATATCATCTGGGCAATCTTTGGTTTTCTGCATGTAGATAGCCCATAATATAGTACACCTTCATCGCGGTCACAAGGGTTCAACACTGATTTCCAGTCGCTGATGCTCATATCATCCAAGAATTTGGGAGGTACATTGTCTAGGAAAAATGATACTATGTCTTCGTAGCCTTGTTGGATGGCAGTGTCAAAAGCTGAACTCGGGCTATATTTGATGATTGGATAGCCCCAAGGTGGATAGGTAAAGTCAGCACCACATTTGACCAGGTATTTAACAATCTCCAAATGACCTGCGTTTGTTGCACAACAAAGAAGATCAACTGCCGAATCTTGTAGTTGATCTTCGCATGCGGTATTCTCAACTATATACTTAACCACTGGAAAATGGCCTCCCGTAACCGCATATTGGAGTGTCGTCCGAGTGGTCCCCAGCCGGTCAGTATAGTCCACTGGGACACCTTGACCTATTAGGAACTTCACTACATCCAACTGACCATGCAGAGCCGCGCAGCTTAGAAGATGCCAGGATCGATAAGTAAGCCTTGTGATGGTTGAAGGCAGAGTGTCAATAAACATTTGAAGAATCTCCAAATGACCATGTGCTGCCGCGATCATCATGGGGGACCTCGATTTCAGTTTCGTTTCCATGTAGGTGTCACCATCAAAATATTCCTTCCACCAAAGTCGCGGTGTTTCCATAAAATCAAATAATTTGTAACCAGCAGACAACAGCTTGCGTAGGGCATCTGAATTGCCGGTCTTCACAAGGCGCAGAATATTGGGTTCACAATTATTCGCAAATCTTAAGTGGAGCTGAGGGCTGACTATGGTGTGTAACAGGCGACAAGTCTGTGACATGGCGTTTAAATCTGATGCATATTGTAGGTTGTGTTGTATATAGAGTAAGAGCTCCAAAGGTAGTGAAGATAGAGACATTTCTGTGTAGTGTTGTAGTTGTTGTACTCCGTACTTCTCCATCGGGTGGGGATCAACCCCCCTTTCCGATGCACGTGACTCTGCCTATCTGCCTAAGGCATTCGATGACGCTAATCTCCGACTCACCGACTGGCCAGATAATCTGCCATCCTTATCTTTCCCCAGACACCTACATCAATAAGTACGCCGAACAGCCCAGACTGTGCCTTTTTTTTTTTTTTGAGGATGTACCAGCTGGACGAATGCCTTTGTTAATACAATAACTTATCTGTGGACGTCGCTATTGCCTTCCTGTCCTTTTGCTTTACGCCTCTTCACCTTCGAACATAGTTGATCACCCGTCGCGACCCAAATTCAAACGATGCATGCTGGTTATCTGCGCTTTCTGATGATATGAGTGGCAATACTGCAAGCTTGTGGAGATTTTTAAGGGACATATTGGACTGTCGCGAGTTGCTGGGTGGTCAGAATGAGCCATGCCGTAGATACCAGTGAAGCTCCGTCACAGCGGAAGATGCCTGAACATGGTATCGCAAACGGGACCAATGGGAGCTTGAGGGTTGAGAAACAATCATTGCCCCATTCTGTCGAAGGGAAATGCAGTCGAGCAGATACTATTACGGCACAATCAAACGGTGAGGCTGATCAACGGCCAACCAATGGAGACGATGGCACAAATGGGCAACGGAAGCACAATACGACTTCGGCACAGCGCCCTGCCAATGGAGGAAATAAACCGGCCAACATGGAACGCGAGCAGGGACTTGGGATTCTAGTCGAGCATTCACCAGACAATGGAGATACCCTTGGCCAGTTGTCAGTAGTGGATGTATACAATGGCCCCAAGGTCATGGCTGCTTTGGCTGATATGTCTACTGATCTGTCTCACCAACTACCAGCAGACAAAGAGAAGATCATGAAGCTGTCTCCTGAGAAGATCCAGGCACTCACGTCCTCCCCAGACTCAATACCTTACCGCCCCGTGGAATCAGAAACGAACACTGGAAGGCGAGTAGTCTCGGACAATGTTCATGGGAATAATTATATCGCACAGCCGGAGATACCAGAATTTGTGCTCCAGTCACTGAGCCAAAAGCCATCGCCCGCGGACGTTTTGCCAAAGTTGCGGCCCGCTAAAGAGGTGTTGTTGGGAGATGCTTCCGCACCCGCGAGTCCAGCCTTCCCACGGAATACTCAAAATGCCTCACTCCGCAATCGGTCACAGCCAGCACGAACTGTTTCAACCCCTGGCTCCACGCGTCGTCAATTGCCCGTTACCCCAGGCAATGACCGCCTAACCCAGACATGGGCATCGCGCTCGAGACAGGACCGACCCGCGCTGGACCGCGATTTGAAGGGCCACCTTATTGCATCACCTCAGATTATAGAATCGCCCAAGTCTTCCCCATTGCCATCATCTATCCCCTTGCCGCCAGTTTCTCTGCCAACCTATCTTCAGCTTGAGCTTGCTTCTGGTCGGCCTTCACCATTGTACATTCACCGTGACGCAGCCAACGACTTCCCTTACGAATCATCACGAGTGAAGATCGAGAGGCTCATGAACTTCATTATGCTCGCACCTATGCTCGAGCAGGTACTTTGCTTTGGGAGTCTTGCTTGCCTTGATGCATGGCTTTACTCTTTCACGATAATGCCACTGCGGTTTATTAAGGCTGTCTATATCTTGGGCGAGTCATGGGTGATGAATCTGGGAGCTGAGATCCGGTTCATTTGGAAGTTCGTCATGAATGGGATTGGTCGAGTATGGCGCAGGAGGAATCATAATGTGAAGGAGGAGCAGCGTGGAAGACGCGAAAGCGAATCTGACGCCACTCCCCACCTGCCTCAGGGCTCCTCTGTGGGGCCAGACATGGGACCAAGAAGGAAACATCGATCCTCCGAATCCCGCAAACACCACCATCGGCGGAAGAAGTCGATGCCCTCGGCGCTTCTTCCAGACGACAAAGCGGACATCCTGACAGGCTTGCTGATGATAGCCACATGCTGTGTTTTGATGTACTTCGATGCAAGTCGGATGTACCACTGGATTCGTGGACAGGCTGCTATCAAGTTATACGTTATCTACAATGTGCTGGAGGTCAGCGACAGGCTCTTGGCTGCTATAGGTCAGGATGTCCTTGAGTGTCTCTTCTCGCGGGAGGCCCTTGAGCGTCGTCCGGACGGCCGAAGCAAGATCATTCGTCCGTTCTGGTTGTTCCTGGTGGCACTGGTTTACACAGTATCCCATGCACTGTCCCTGTTCTATCAGGTCATGACTCTGAACGTGGCAGTGAACTCATACTCCAACGCACTGATTACCCTACTCTTATCGAACCAGTTCGTGGAGATCAAATCTACCGTCTTCCGCAAATTCGAGAAAGAAAACCTCTTCCAGCTTACCTGTGCGGATGTCGTGGAACGTTTCCAGCTATGGCTGATGCTTACCATCATCGCTTCGCGTAACATCGTGGAAACAGGCGCCTTCAACTTCGTCGGCAACCTCGGGCTAGGGTCTAGCTTCCCAGGCCAGTCCTCCACAATCACTAACAGCACACCACTATCCACGCCTCCACGCACCGCATCATCCATCCTACCCCAAGCATTCACCCTCTTCCCATCCTCAATCCTATCATCCTTCAACAGCGTCAACTCCTTCATCCCAACAATAGCCCAAGTCCTAGGCCCATTCCTAGTCGTCCTAGGCTCCGAGATGCTAGTAGACTGGCTCAAACACGCCTACATCAACAAGTTCAACAACAACCGTCCAGCAATCTACGGCCGCTTCCTAGACGTCCTAGCAAAGGACTACTACACAAACGCTTTCGGCGAACAAAACCTAACCCGTCGCATTGGCCTACCCGTTATCCCTCTCTCCTGTCTGTTCTTTCGGGTCTCCGTCCAAACATACCAAATGTTCCTAGCAGCCCTCATCCCCCAACACCCATCCTCAACAGCAAACGGAGCAACCTCCCTAACCTCAATCCACAATCACTACGCCCCCTCCCCGATCCCCTCAGCTCCACCCTTGACACTCGCAACGCTCCTCCCCGCCTCTGCGGCCCACGTCAGCGCATTCTTCCGCACAGTCCTCGAAAACGCAATCCCGTCCCCAGCACAATCCGTCCATATCTTCACCGGTATCCTGTTGCTGACTGGATTTATCGTCCTGCTCATCCTGAAACTCTTGTTGGGCATGGTCTTGCTTGCGTTTGCGCGTTCCCGATACAGGAAAATGAAGGCTCGGGAGAGTGAGCGCAGACAGTCCTCGAATAACCAGTCCGGTACTGAGAGTGGGGCGCCTCGTTCTCGGGATTTCGATGTTGAGGGTAGTCAGCGTGTTGGTGGGTGGGGTGTTGTTGAAGTCGGGGATGAGAAGCGGAAGTTGATCTATGCTGATGATCCGGATGGGTTGCGGCGGGTGAAGGAGAAGGAGGAGAAAGATAAGAGCAAGGATGGGGAGTTTAATGTTGATCATGTACAGCGGTATGAGATGATCGCTAAGAAGATTTGGTGATTGGGTGTACCTTTGTTGTGGATGTTGGAAGTTGTTGATTGTATAGCTTATAGTATAGGTGTATAATACTCAGATTATTTTTCGTTTGCATTATTATGGGTGATGGAGTCGTGTAATAAAAAGGGATGTCAAGATTACTTTCAAGCTACTTGTGTATACATTTGCAGTAAATGGGGGAATAAAATGTGATCAATTCGTGTCAGGGGGAATAAAGATTCGAGGAAGGATATCGGAGTAAGGCGAATAGGGGTATGTACAAGATCTCGAGAGGTTCGCTGGTCGTGATCAGTATTAGCGAGTGGTCCGGTCATCACGCACAGGAGAACCAGCTCCTGGTTTTCATCATAATAAGGTCTCATGGCCTTCAACGAAGGCTACGGGTGCGAGCCTTATCAATATTGGTGAGTATTTGAGCGATTGAATGTGTGCCCTGGTGGAGCGCGATGCATGACCGAGGGCGAAGCGGTGTTTGCTCGGGTATAGGCGGACGGACCAGGAGGAGCCTGGGAGCGAGGCTGAGATGTTTGATGACCCATTGATGGGTTGAAAGCTGCATAGCCACCATTCTGAGGAGCGGGAGTTGCCGAACTCATTGGAGTGAACGTCCTCGGTGGAGGCTGGGCCATTGCGGCTGCTTGTGGGGGAGGTGTAGGTCGGTAGCTTGCCGGGGTGTTGGACCGATAGGGAGCAGGGGTCCCACCAGTGCTGGCCGGCGTGTAGGATCTTGTTGAATATGGATCTGTTGAATATGGATCCTGTTGATAGTACTCTTGCTGTGCACGGGGTGCATCTCTTTGGCCACCAGGGGTCCCGTATCTTGGTCCGTATCCGTCCTCTCTGCCGTACGCGGCCCTCGGAGGACCATAGGGGTCATAGTTAGCAGGCGCATGATCGCGGTTGAAATAATCATGATCATCAGAGGCGTCCATGTCAGCGGAAGAATAACCGGGCGCTGGGGTGTGGCCCTGATATGGCTGAGAATCAGAACTATCGGTGAGGTTGCGATAGCCCGGACCGGGGCTATGACGACCATCATTGCCATATGGCGCAGGAGCCGGTCGAGAGTGAGGAGTGGCCATTCTTGATGGAACGTTGGCTGGCAAGGGAGGGACTGGTGGCAGCGTCGGGTTCTGGCGATCAAGAGGAGTGTATCCCATTCCGGCCGCATTGCCCGTAAGTGAAGCGGACTCGGACAATACTGAAGATGAAGTTCCAGTTCGAGCCAGTGTTGGCTTGGAATCAAATTCCAGATTCGGCAGTGTCGGGTTGTGCCCCGGCGCTGTCGAGGAAGCCGATCGCGAGTAGGGCGGCAAAGTGGTCTGGGTGGTACTTCGCGACAACACAGCCACTGCGGGGCCCTTATCTCCGGCGAAAGAAGGTAGAGTCGGGTTTGAATCCGTTGCCAGCATTGGCTGGGTGGGTGCACGGTTCTGTAATTTGAGCCCCTTTGCCAGGGCCTTGGTATTTTTGCGGTGCACGATGCGCTTCAGCCGTTGGCCAACCTTCCGCCGGCAGTACCTCGAAAGAGTACCGTCTTCCGCTGGGATATGATGGAAGAGAAAGATCAAATAGAGTACGATCGCCGATATCAACTTGAGGACTGACAGAACCCAAACGACCAGAGTGAAAAGCATACCAAACAAGACCACAGCTTGAAGGTTATTTTCCTCGGCCAGAATCTTAATGTTGTTGAAGAATTGACTGGCGCCAGAGCTTCCATCGTCGTGAGCGGCATTCTTCCCTCCAGGAAGGAGGTCCATCTGCATGACCGAATAGAGAGTGATGCCATTGAGAACTTGACGCGGGCCATCTGCGAAGATCGTGTTCATCCAGACTAAAATTTGTTAGCTATTTTCAAATAGCAGGTAGGCAATAGTAGTATACTTACACTGGAAGGAGAAGTATGCATAAAGAGCAACATATTCTGCTGCTTTCCTGTCTTTTGTTAATTCAGCGAAGACGAGGAATCTTCTATATCCACGGCCCCGCTTGCCGAAGCGAATACTCTGAATACGCACAGCCAGTGGGTCCAGAAAGCTGCGAGTAATACTACCCGAGCGGATGGCGCGGATGGCATGTATCCATCGGTATGCCAACAGAACGAATGAAGCAATGATACAGGCGGCGAAGATCCATCGGGAGATATTGAAGGGAATGGCGGGTTCAACTCTGCCAGACCATCGTGAGAAAGCCAGCAAATTGATTGCAGTAAATGTATCGACACCGTAGACAGCAATTGAGATAAACAGAAATACCCATAGGAAGAAATATGAGAAACCTGTCCAGCAAGACTCGGATTTAAAGTCGTCCAAGTTCTAAGGAAGTAAGTATCAGTATACCGAGGCATCTATACAACACTGTCATTGTGTAGACATACCACATAGTCCCATTTCTCTTCCATGGCTACATCCCCCTTCTCGCGGTCTCCACAGCACAGCATTATGTCGATTGACCTGGTCCTGCCAGGAAGTGATCACGGAGGGTTGAAACGAATGACGGGATCACGAACGATCAAATGTCGACTTCCTCGGGCCAGCCGGGAAAAGTCGTGTTTGAGGTTTGAAATGGATGTAAAGAATAAAGAGAGACAAAAGCTCAGGCGCAACGAGCGATGGGAATGGTAGTATGTTAACCGCACGAATGGCGCATACCTGCGCAAGGCAAGGAGAGTGGCGGGGATCGCGGTGTCAGGTATCGAGGGCTGCAAGCCACGTGTATATGATCACAATGATGCGCTGGTATTTCAGATGCGCATTGGCGTATTCAAAGCGACAATAGACAGTGTTTCATTGAAGACCGCCGATCTCTTGGCAAGAAAGGGAAGGATGTGGAGAAAGAATGCGGAAATGGAAATAGGGTGGAATGAGTGTGACCCTTGTGGCGAAGGCTGTGAAAAATGAATGACACAATGGAATGGAAGTTTGAGAAAGGGGAAGACTGAAACATCGAGGGGGAGGTTCGGCAGGTGTGGAGACAACGGGAAGTACAGGCACGAGCGGGTTTTTAGGGCTGAACGTCTTTCTCTTTATGTTTTGTGTCCTTTGTCCTTTATATGTTCTAAATTGGGGATCTTCCAGGTTACCCTTGGTCAATACTCTGAATTTATTGAGAAATACCTATTCTTGGAGCAACTCAAAGTGAGATAAATAGGGAAGATGGAGTCGATAATCTCCATTCTCACTCCTCACTGGCCATCCGCACGCGCCAGGGGAGGGTCCATGTACCTAAGCGCTGATTCCGGGCGCTACGGAGTACACGTTTCGGTGTTTATACATTTTTTAACATGGCCGGCGCTATGGTCTTTATTTATATATTTTCTAGCTATCAGGTAAACAAATATGTGGATTCCTGAGGTGTTATTTTTTGCCTATTTAAGGCATCACCTGATGCACAGCTCTTTGACGCCAAGACTTGGACCCCATCACACCCCAATAAGCACTTATGCCCAGAATCCATTGCGCACAGCCAAGGGGCCATCTTGATCTTGAATATATTCACACTGACCACCTGGGCATATCCATCCCCCTAAAAAACTAGCTATAGAGGTGATTTCTGTGGATTTCCAATGTTGAAACTGTCTAATCATGGCCTTATCCCTTACCATTCGCCTCAGCCCATGACATCGCAACTTTGATCTGACATATAATTCAGTTGAAATCAAAGAACAAATATAAATCACCGATTCTTCTCGGGATATGCTTCAGGCTCCTTCACTCGGTCCCCCATACGCATTCCGTCGAAAATACTTGACACTTGACTCCACCCCGCATATCGAAAACAAGCCCGTGCACGACGTCTCATACCTTACCCCAGCCCAAATCCCCAACCTCCCCGGATCGGCAGAAAACCAACGATCGGTCGGCAGCCAGCACTCGAAGCGGCTCCAGCCTTTCGCTATCCTGGGCGTGACATTCCACAACCGAATTGGACTATCTTCGCTTTGTCAGCACAACGCCGAGGGCCATATAACCAACTGGCACATGGCCCATCTAGACGGAATAACACAACGCAGGCCCGGTCTGTTAATGGTGGAGGTGACTGCCGTGCAAGTCAACCGTTGCATCATGCCCAAAGACCACAGGCCCTGGAAGGAGTAGCAAAGCGAGCTATGTATTCCGCCACGTGGCCAAGTCCGAGCATAGCCAGAGCCAGATCATCGGCGTGCAGCTGGCACACGTTACTGACCGGACTCTTTCCAGCTTTTCATGGTCCCATAAGCTAGCCGACAGCAATTATAATGGCTATAGCTTCATTAGGCTTGTTGGCCTCGATGAGAGCAGCTGTCAAGTAATACCGCGGTCCGAAGAACAACGGACCTTGATCGTCACGGGGAGGCTTCCCTTAGATGCAGGGATGATACTTGATCTCTACTTGATAGAATGGTATCAATTGGTAGGTGTGTATGGTTTCTTGTAGAACTAGCTCTGTTTCCTGTGAATAAATTTCCGAAATCGGGATCATCTTTTGTGTTTCGGTGCCCCTATCGTCTGATAGAATGCCGGAAACCCTCTCCTCGCGGGGCGCAGACGTAGCTCCCCGTCACCCCTGGCCGATTATCAAGGCCCATCAATTCCTCCCCGCCGATCATAACCATCCGGCAGAGAATTTTCCGGTTCTTCCATGTCTAAGTTTTGGTTCTGGATTCCCTCTGCGTTGTGTGGGACTTCATTTGAGCCTTCACTAGTTTTGCTCCTGGTTCAAGATGGTCCGAGTACTCGATCGAATTCGTTCCTTTGATGTCACGAAATGACCTTGTCAAGCAATCTCTCCATGTGCATGAGAGCGTGTAGGTATCCGCCCGTCTCTAGGGAGTTTCTGCTCGCCCCACGATGATGATGCTCGTCTCCTAACCACCGATCAATGTATGCTTGATTTCCCCCTTCAGTCTCAGAAGTCCCATCTACCACCGAAAGCGGATTGCCGCTGCAGACATTGACGCTTGTTCTGCATATGAGTCGTTCTTGTAACATGCTCAAACTGTCGCATAATCCCACCATTTAGCCTCTGTCCCAATCAGAGGCAGGTTGGTGAAAGGTCCGTAGCATGTCTTTGGAGCCGATAGACTGCCTCGTGACCCTGAGTACGGCCGCTGGGCATGCACCTGGCTCCCATCTGTGTGTATTGATTGTCCGTTGAAATGGCAGTTTCCTGTCAGAATTTGCGCTTTCCCGTCACGCCTCCTGCGTCTGCCACTCCGCGGTTGACAAAAGTTCATCCATTTGCCGGAAAGTATTCAGCTCATTCGCCTGCCGTGTTGTTCAGGGTGCCGCTTAAAACATTTCGATTCGCATGAAATGTTTACCTACCTTAAATTAGTCAGGTTTCTCACTTGCTTCTGCTGGATTTCGAGTTTACTCACGTAGGCCATCATACACGGATATAGATTTTATATTGATTCAATATTTTTGAGGTATGGGTCGGAGTTTTCGCTGATGCGCTTCAAACCGAGAATCATGTTGAGATGCTTCAAGTCCCAGTGACGAGATGCAAGTCTTGGATACTTTTCTGTCGAATTGCCGATGTCCTGGGTCAATTACGAGTTGCATCTTGCTCTTGTCGGGTCATATCAAGTTTCCTGGGTTTAGTCCTGGCTAGGCTGTCTCCGATACCACTGGATCAATATCACTGCTGTAATAGACCGCTTCATCCAGGTAAAAGTCTCCGCAGTTCATTTCTAAGAGGTGGTAGAGGGTAGGTGGATCAAGACCATCGATATTGACGTATACGTTGGGCTTTCGACAGTTGTCGTATACACCTGTAAATGTAACTCCATCTCCAGGTTGCAAACATAGGTGGCATTGAGGAGATGGAGAAGATAAAAAATTTATATCCCACGGGAGTACGAGAAGGCACACCAGGAAGGATCAGCCAGAAGGAAGGTCCGATTGGGTAAGGAGTAAGATTTCACCTTCCAAGGAAGGCCGCATATATTTATGCAGGTAACCGGACGATTGTTCTTATTTTTAGAAAATATCTCCATGTTTCAAGTACGTCTGATGAACAAAACTGTTCTTGTCATTTTAAATTTGAATGCACGGGGAGTTTCATTCCTCCGGCTCGTGTGGCTTAAGTCCGCCGTCCGTCCGAGACGGCTTGTAGATGTACCGATCGTGCACAATACGGGGAATACCCCTGCAATATAAATACATGGAATAATAACCTGAAATAATCCCTAAATTCGACGACAGGCGCCTAAATCAAACATCCCACACGTCAGTTCGCTGCCGTAAACATCAAAATGGTCTCTCTACCAGACGTCCAGACCTCGAATGCCGAAATCGCCAATACCCTCCCAGCAGGCCTTGTGGCAGTCTTCGTAGGTGCAACAAACGGCATCGGCGAAGCAGCCCTAAAAGAATTCGCTCGCTCGGCCCGATCTCCACGCGCATACTTCATCGGCCGCTCACAAGAAGCCGCAGCCCGCATCACAGCCGAATGTCGACAGTTGAACCCGGAGGGGGAGTTCATCTTTATCAAAGCGGATGTTAGTCTGATTCGGAACGTCGACGTCGTCTGCCGCGAGCTTCAGATTAAAGAGAAGAGTATCAATATCCTCTTCCTTAGCTGTGGAACTATTCGTTCTGGAGAAGGTGGGCAGGACATTCGGACATCCCGTACAAGAAGAAAAAGACATGGTTACTCATGATATGCGAATAGATACATCCGAAGGCCTCCATATCCTACCTGCACTTGGATACTATGCACGAACACGATTCATCACCAACCTCCTCCCCAATCTCAAACAAGCAACAGGCTTACGGCGTGTCGTCAGCGTCCTAGCGGGCAGCCACGAAGGTCCCATCGACGTGACAGACTTCCAAGCAAAGAAGATGTCCATAATAAAGCTACGTGGACATCTTGTGTCGATGACTGATATGGCCCTGGAAACACTGGCCGAGCAAGCGCCGGAAGTGACGTTTATTAACGATTATCCCGGCCCAGTCAAGACAGGGCTTGGACGCGAGGCAAATACTTTTCTGGCATGGTTTATGGGTATTGTGCTCATGATTATCGGGCCTTTGATTTACATTCCAATTCGGGAGTCGGGGGAGAGGCATCTTTTCTTCGCGACGAGCGCTAAGTATCCGCCCCGTGCCCGTTTGGAGGCAGGGGAGGCTTCCTCTGGTGTGCCTTTGTCGGAGGGGGTTGAGGTTGCCAGTGGGACGGATGGGAAGGTTGGGAGTGGTGTGTATAGTATTCACTGGAGTGGGGAGCATGCTGGTCCTAAGGTTGTGACGTTGCTGGCTGGACTTCGCGAGCAGGGAATAGCGCAGAAGGTTTGGCACCATACGGTTGGTGAGTTTGACAGAATTGTAGGGTCAGCGGATGTCTGAGTCAGAGGGTCCTTTTTGGTCATGTTGTCGAGTTTCGATTGGGATTGGGTGAGGCATTGCTATACATATTCCCATTCTTTGTCCTAATAATACTGCCTTTGGTAGGCTATAGGGTGTGTGATTTCGGGTAAATGACATCTTTCTTCGAAGTTATAGCAAGCGCACGCTATCAGTTAGTGCTTTCGGGTTTCTGTTGAAACTGACATATCGAAGTACCCGGGTAACGCAATTGAATTGTGTTCATCCATCCATTGGACATCTCCGGTCCATCCATTGTGGACTGAATCTCTGATTTCTCTTGGAAAGTAGGTACCAGATGATTTGTAGCTTGAAAAAGAATGCACAATGGGGGTTTCCGTACCTCGGCAGCGTCTATGCAATCTGTTGTTTGTTGCTGATGTTCCCACGGCCGCGACGGTTTCGTGAACATCGAGCCCTCCCACGGTGATTTCCACGAGAAGAACCTGATCCTTTGCCATGGTCGGCCTGATGCATGATCTCCAACGCCGACTTTCTAGCTCTCCATCTGGCACTTGCCAATCTGACCATCTCGGGTAAATTTTCCGGTAATTGACCTTTACTACCAATGCATCCTTGTCGGGTGTCACATTGCAGTTCTGGGTCGAGCTTGACGAGAAATGTGAGGGATTGTTCTTTTTGGGAACGGGGTTCGAATTGCTTCTCAAGCTCAGCCTCGATGGCACAGAGGTATGTGCGAAATTGAGATGGATCTTGGGAAGGCTTGTGACGAGCGTTTGTGTACATTTCCACTAAACCGAATTCGCCAGAGATGTTCAATAGGGTCAAGGTCCACTCCTCAAAGGCTTTCCATGTCTTTAGCCTTTCACGTTCTTCCGGTGGCGCCCATTCTTTGAGTAATTGCCATCTCTCGCGATACGTGTTACAAAGACGATTTGTCGCAATGATAATTTTCATTTTGTCGGTCATGGATGTGTATGGAGGACGGCTGAACTTGTGGTAAAGTTCATTGAGCCATCTCCATCGTTGCACAATATCAAAATCAGGGGTAAAAGGTTGAAAAGACTCAGGCTTAAAATCCTCGTCGCTGTCTGATAAGAAGTCCATCTTGTTCTCAAGAGAAGCGATAAATGATGATAGGGAGGGATGAACTCGGTGCATGTATAAGGTCCCGAGGTCGAGCATCGAGCCGGTCTGACGTAATCCCAACACAGCCCCTGGCCCAGGGCCGGGGCCAGATATCCTTTAGAAGGGCCTCCAGAGGTTCCAATGGACCTCGAATAATGTAAATTCTATGTGCAGTTTAACACAAGCTCCCGGGTTATTATATATGCATGTATAATTCCACATGGCATGGGGGATTATGTTTGCGGATCCAGGCTTAATGCGGTAATGCTTGCGAGGGCGAGTAAGAGATCATCAAAAACGACTTTCAACTCTGGAATTCAACCTTTTCAGAATGTTACGGAGTATATATTATATTATTGCGCTGACAATCTTTGTATTAATAATCTCCACACTTCCAAGGTTGTCTTGGATAAGTCCACGAGTCACTCCCAGGCAGCCATCTCAAAAGAGATCATATATCATCCCTCTGAGCTTCGCAAAGGTCACATTTTCTCGTTGCTATATCGAGACCGGACGGGGCATAGGATTGAAACCTAACTGGAATAACAAGCCAAGCACTTCGTCATCTTGTCTAACACCCCACTTGAGCACACTCTTCGCAACTATTCGAAACCGAGAGTGTTTGATACCCGCGAAGCTCTTCTCTGATTTCCTCTACTCCATGTGAGATTTGAGCTGTCAAATTCCAATATCAGTTTACCCCTGATTCTCCGGGAATTTTTAGCGATGGGGCGCATCAGCGACAACTTCACTATTATCTATCTCGGCCTCGCCGCCGGGATATACTTCAAGCCGGAGTATGCTATTTTCAATTCCAGGTCTGTGACGGCTGCTGTCCTTTTCGGGTTCATTGCTGTGTCGAGGATGATTTATCAGCTTGTGTTGTATCCCGATTATTTCACTCCATTGAAACACATTGATTCACCAGCGGTAGGTCAGGCATCCTCCTATGTATTTGAAAATTGTGCCTAATAATATCTAGGATCGAAGCTGGCTCACCGGTCATTCTCCGAATTTCTTGCTTGAGACCCCCTATCCGCAGCTACGGGAGCGGGTCAAAAATAGGCCCAATCAAGATCTCCTCCGATACTATATTGTCGCAAACCTCGAAAGAGTGATTTTGACAAGCCCAAAATCGCTGGGTGAGCTGCTTGTTACGAAAGTTTATGACTTTGAAAAACCCGAGCTGGTCCGGCAGAGCTTGCGGCGTATTACAGGCGATGGAGTCCTACTTGCCGAAGGCGAAGAGCATAAGGTAGACTCAGCCCTTCAAATTACACTCTACATGGATTCAAACTTACAATTCCTCCACTAGATACAACGCAAGAATCTCATGCCAGCCTTTGCCTATCGTCACATTAAGAATCTCTACCCAGTCTTTTGGGGCAAGAGTGTAGAAATGGTCAAGATGATCGAGGAAGACCTACAGAGCAGAAAGGCCAATGGGAATAACGACAACACAGTCCAAATCAGTAATTGGGCCAGTCGAGCAACCCTGGACATCATCGGCGTCGCCGGTATGGACCATGACTTCAACTCTCTCCGTGAACCTGACAACACCCTCAACCAATCCTACCGCAAAATCATGTCCTCGCCACCCCTCCTCATGAAGATCCTTTTCGCTCTAAGTATGATACTATTTGGCAACCCGATATGGGTCCAAGAATTACCGACGAAACGCAACAAAGATATCAAGGAAAGTGGCGAGGTCATCCGCAACGTCGCACGGCAGATGATCCGACAGAAAAAGGCAAAAATGGAAGACCCCAAAGCTGAAACCGGCATTGACATCATCTCCGTTGCACTAAGCAGCGGCACCTTTGACGAAGAGAACCTCGTCGACCAATCCATGACATTCCTAGGCGCCGGCCACGAGACCACCGCCACAGCACTGCAATGGGCCGTTTACGCACTTTGCAAAAATCCCAACGTCCAGACTCGTCTGCGGGATGAGATCCGCGCCAATCTTCCCTCCCTCGACGACCCGACTCCCATCTCTGCAGCCGCCGTCGATAACTTGCCCTACCTAAACGCAGTGTGCAACGAGGTCCTCCGCTTCCACCCCTCTGTGCCGATGACCATACGCAAGGCGGTTCGTGACACAACTCTTGCTGGCGCGCATATTCCCAAGGATACGACATTGATAATCTCTCCACAAATTCTGAACCGGATGGAAGAGCTGTGGGGACCAGACGCGAACGAGTTCAACCCGGACCGCTTTATGGGTCCTGGTAAGGCTAACACCGGCGGTGCGGTTAGTAACTATGCCTTTTTGACTTTCCTGCATGGTCCGCGTGGTTGCATCGGACAGGGCTTTGCGAAATCAGAGCTTGCTTGCCTGATTGCTGCTACTGTCGGTCGGTTTCACATGGAGTTCAAGTTTCCTGATGCTAAGTTGGAGATTCGGGAGGGGGCTACCGTCTCACCTAAAGATGGAGTACTTGCCCTGCTTACGCCGTTGGAGGGGTGGTAGATATGGATCAGATGTGTCTATTGGTTTTGTGTGGCTCTTGTAGTATATATGTATATATTGCTGGTCTTTTGGATACTTTCGCCTTCACATTGTTTAAGATGATGACCCCGGCTTCAAATGAATGCATGTAATGTGCGCTCTTCTACATATCGCATGGATTTAGCTGCTCATCATTTCCTTTGTTCGCATATATCTCACACTAATTGCTCAGATGTCTCAATAAAAAAGAATGAATGGCTATTCTTTCAAATAAGCCGGTTTTAGGTTGAACTGAGATGAATCAAAGTCTATAGTCGGCGTTAGAATTGCGACAACATTATATTAAGCCAACTTACAAATGAGTTGGCTAGGTACATGAAATCGAGACAGGTAATCATGTCATATATTTCTATACCTACAAAAAAGAGAGAATGAGAGACCCAAAAATCGACAAGAGAAAAGTAACAGAAAGAGCAAAGGCCATCAAAATCACCCCAGTGTTTATCTGAATGGAATGGAAATCCAGAACGCGACGTGATACTAAGAATTGACACAACCATGCACCTGACCTTCCTTTTCCTTCACCGTCAATTTATATTTCTCCTTGAGAACCTCTGGAAAAACTAACCACTTTTCCATTGGGCGGCGGCAGTCACTATCAAGCTGCAGACATGTGACGATTTCACGACTCGATGCAGATGGTATGGCCGTGTCTTTAGGGACGCGTTCATTCACAAGCCGCAGATCGCCACGCTCCCAAAGCTTTCTGAGGATACGCGCGTGCATATTTGCAGCTAAAATTGTCCATCCCCTTTCTTCTGGCTTATACCAATTCCCAAAATACCCATGCATAGCCATCCATAGGATACGCTTAGGCACGAGAGGTCCTTCGAGCGGTATGTTATCCTGCACGATTATCTTCTTGGACGCAAGTGCCAAGTCTAGCACCTGGAAAAACTTCTCTGGGGTGTCGATTGATCCAAATCCATCCAAGTCAATGCCGAACCAAACCAGGTAGCGACGCTGGTAATGCACCGGGTCGTGCCTTATCATATAAACTGTTTCCAGTTCCTCGTGTGCACGTCTTGAGATGAGAACTTTGTAGTGTGGATGGGCTAGACTATTCGGGCTGAGAACTGGTAGTTCAATGGGATCATTGCGTTTTGAGCTTCTAAGTCCACGAGCGTTGTCGGAGTGTGAACTCAGTAGGTGGTACTTGCTCTCTTCCACAGTGAGTTCTGGTACTGGCAAAATCCACTTATCACAGCGGAAGTCACCCCTACGAGGTGGGCACGCGTTAGACCACTGGGGCTCAGGCATCTGGAGGGTATGATTTTGGGAACAAGGCGGTAGGGGGAGGACTGGGAGGAAATGTTATAACTTCTCGATACGAATAACATCCTCTTATTTATAGCTGGATAAGAGGAAAGTTTTCTTATTTTTTTACAGAGCGGATAAAAAACGCACAGTAAAGCCGATCTCGAATCTAGATTTCATAAGTTGAAAGACTTGAGTCTATTTTCAACAGAAAACGGATGTAACCATCTAGTTAGAATAAGGAAAAGATAAAAATATGACACGGGTAGAAATTATATTGGCGTTTACTTCCCTCTTTTAGAACATTCCTTTGATATAAAGAAGACACCAAATAGAATGAGATGACTTCGTGTCGAGTTATTCTTTTAGTTACCTTGGTTGTATCCATGACTCCCCAGTCCTCAATGAATTGGGATGTTTGAAAGGAAAGATATGCTAGCCGCCATTTTATAAACAGAGGTAGCTATATTTACCCTGGCAGATCAAAGCATTCGGATTCAAGTCAACAAAGGAGAATCTTTTCAAAGATATATATTATTCAGTGATGAAAATTCTAGCCCATATTGTGTAGGAAAGACAAAACCAGAAGAGTCCAATCTTTATTGAGACTGTGCCAATGTTTCTGCTAGTGATTCTACATAGTCCAGTACATCAATAGTAGAAAAATAGAACGGCAACTAGGTAGAAGCTGAATACCTCAAGAGTCAAGCATATATATGTGTCACGTGTGCATCTGCCAAGATATAGAGTGGAGCCGTGGCAGACGTCGCCCCACAAGGTCCCGCTGGTTAACCAAGGTTGGAAGATAAGGTTACTGTCAAGGTTAAAGGAATAATATCAACTGCAATGGGCAAACAGAGCTTCAATGACATAGCACACCCTATTCACCTGCAGAGTCACAGAGTATGGCCCATCTTTCTCCTAGTGGGATGTTTTTCACTTGGTATATCTACCAGTTGGTTGCTTTGGGTTCACCGAACAGGCAATCAAGCTTTTTCACCCGAGAGTCTACACTCAGGTAGTCTAACCAACGACCAACTTTGGATATCACCAGGGCCAGTGGTATGGTTTGTTTGATTTTGGTGTTGATGGGTGCTTGCTGACTCCAGGCCACCAGATCACCTCGTCAGAAAAACTTTCATATACTTCATGCTTCGAAGGCTACCAATGTGACGAAGGTGTATTGACGCCACGGTCACATGCATTATTTACATATAAATTGATCTCCGAATGCCTTATGATCGCCTGATCCATCGTTTCTGGCTTGGATGACTATTTTTGGACTGGCAGAAAAATGAAAATACCTGAGTTACTATGACAGAGGCCTCAATACGCAAAGTACTCTCCCAAGGTTAGTTAACTACATGTATTCTATCAACTCTATCAGGCAATAAAAAGACATTAGGCATCGATTTCTAGCTATGTAGATTAGGCATTTGACCCCTAGCGTCTAAAAACATTCGTAGACATCCACATTCGCATACTGATAAGATTCTCGACAATAACGAGGACTGAGCCCATTCGTTGGGTCCGGCTGTCGGGCAGGTAAATTACCCGGAAGGGGGAGTAATTAGGAGTTATCTCACTTCGCCAGAACCGCGGCACGCGATCCCACAGCCAATTCGTCGCGTCGCGTAGCAAACCACCCACCGAGGAATCTTCTAGCACTCTCTCGCCATCATCCGAGATGGCAGTATAGGCCATACTCCAGTACCTACGCCCTATGAGAGGCATATCGTCAAATTTCCAGGGCAACCTATTCACCACACCACCGCTACTAGTAGCAACAACAAAATTCCCCCACAGATCAGCACAAGTACAACCAACAGTGTCCTGGTCCAAGGGAGCAGGTTCCGCCGTCGGATCCACAAAGACAGGCACCTTCTTCTGATCCAAAGAAATAGGAACCTTCTCCTCATCCAAAGAAATAGGCACCTTCACCCCATCCAAACCTGCGATATGCTCATCCCACCTCTTTTGTGTAAAGAACCACTTATCAGGACAGAACTCCACCCCACAGTCCCGAGCAAGCGTCTCCACTTCCGGACCAGCCAGCTCAGTATGCATATGCCCGAGCTCATCTACAGGGGATCCAGCAATGGCCATTCTTTTGAGTGCCTCCTGCGCGAGATGAATCGGATGACGCACATTACGGACGCCCGTCACACCTGCGCCGCGATTGATTGCGTTTCGTGCTGCGGGCTGCAGGCTTGTCACCATTATTGTGGCTTTCATTTCGACTGTGCCGGCTGCTGTGAAGGCGCTGCCGCGGCCGCAGTTGAAGAGGGGATCGTCTTCAAGAAGGGAGATGACGTGAACGGCGGCTTCCAGGGCTGTGCTGCCATTTCTGAGGAGGGCGTGGGTTGAGCGGAGATAGGATTGGAGGGAGGCGTGGCGGGCGGCGAGGAGCTCTGGGGGGAGTTCGGAGCCTTGGGGGTTGCCGCCGTGGAGCATTAGGCCTGGTTCGAATGGCACTGGTTCCACAATATTTCCGGTTTTATTGGCCATCTTGATCGGAATTATGATGTTGGTTGTGTTGCTCTGTTGCGGAGAAAGATAGGGGGAAGGTAGGCTACAACACACGAAGGGCCACATACACTCGATTTAATCTGGCCTGAAAATTTAGGTCAAATTCTGAAATGAAAAAGCCTGTTTCTAGGAGTGCTGCTGCGGGTTGCATTGTGAAAGACGTATGATTTGGTTAATATAATCTGAATTGGGGTATCACTCAACAAGGATTGCAACCATATAGGGCCACGTACAAAGCTAATTAATGGAATATATATGCAGAGTGGATTCTATCACGATGGCAGATTCCAGAGGAAATCTAATGTTCCACCTTCATACATCGGAAATTGACATCCATGGCTCATATCAAACGGCGCCATCGATGGATCAAAAGGCAAGGAGAGCCAGTTATCTGCACCGATATCATTCAACGATGGGATGAATCCTAGATCCGGAGGTGGGTCCTGCACTACAGGGGCCCTCATTGGATTTGACTGGTCACCATTTTCCGGCCAAGGAGGAGGCCCCATGGATGATCGTCGCGTAGCATTTTGACTACTTTTCATGGCTTTTGACGATGCAAGCAGATTGCGTCGCAAGCGTGAGACATGCATGTCTAACAGCGTGGCGTAGCGTGTGCTCAGATGGACATCATCCAACGCGTTGGACTTGAGTGCTTTGATGCTCTTTTCGAGTATTTCAATTGATTCCTGGAGTTTGGCTTGCCGTGTGCCCAAACTAAGCGCTTTCATCAAGAAGATTGAGGCGCTGGTTATGCGAAGAACGATTCGAACTGGCGAGAAGCGTAGAGCCCCTGCTTCGGCTAGATGGGTGACTTTCTGCAAGATCTGGCCACATCCATCGATTACTTCTTGGATGTATTCGTAGTCTGTGGGGTCGATGGTCATGGGTCGCACTCCGTCGAAGTTGTTGGGATCGTTCTCTGCGACAGCACGCTCCACTACTGCTTGCATTCCCACTGAATGAGTGTAGACACGGACGAAGTGGTATTCGATGAAGAGATCGTTGTAGAATGCTTGATCAAGTACTTGGGGCTGTAGGTACTTGTCTTTCCATTGATTTAGAAGAGGTCGGAAGTGCTCAAGAAGGCCAACGTATCGGCCGCTGTGTAGTTGCTGGCGTGCAAACGCGGCAGAGGGGAAGAACATATCAGTAACAGACTTGGCTAGCTTTGTAAGCTCAATCCACGAATCCATGAACGTCAACCACGTGCTGCCCGGTGGACCCAGTCCTTCTGGCTTCCGTCCGCCCAGGATAGCATGGTTTAATGATTGAGGGATCGGTGACATGCATCCGATCCGCCAAGCTAATTGATTGATGTAGACGTATAGCAGACGTTGTACACGCTGCCAACGAATTTCCATCTGATCTCTCCATTCTGGTTCGTCTGCTGGTGAGCCGCTTCCCTGTGTTTCGAATATGCCCAGCTCGTGTGCAAGAGACAGCGCACACCCAAGCAACATCCAGGACATTTGGTCAGATCGGCGTGCTGGCTCAATGATATCTTCTACCCCGCGACTGTCAGGCGCTGAGCTCGGATTATTATTCTCATGTTGCATGGGTGCTGATGGGATCAAATCATCGTCCCAGCCATCCGTTTCGGGCGGAAAATGCAGGGCGCGAGGATGCCATTCTGACATCAACAGAAGCGCCTCCACAGTACCCAGACTCCGTACCTTGGATTTTGTTGATTTTTCTTGCCCAAATATTAGCCTCATCGTCAATTTCTGGCAATGCGACCATAGTCGGTGGTGAATAAAGAAATTCCTCGACTCCCCCCTGCTCCGGGAAGGACGTGGTAGCGAGAAGAGATCATGAGAATGGTGGAGCATAGAACAGGCTCCCGAGTAATCAGCCAGTAGTGATATCGATGGTTGGCGTAGAAATCAGTGAGAATCGGAGATAAACAGGACATATTCTTGTAGAACCTACTTCTGGTCAGCTTGTATTTGGCAGAGACATGGAACCTGCGACGGAACACACAAATCAATAAAAGTAACAGCCTCTCTAGCAGTGAACCAACCCATCTTGACAAACCGACAAGCCTCCCAGACATTGAGAGTGTCTTGGGTGGCGTCCGATAACCTGACAGGATGTATTACCCGTGCCACAGAATCGGATGCGCCATCGTAGTTCCCCGGTGTTCGGTCTTGAGTACTCGGTCCTGCCGATGGAGGTCCAGCCAGCGATTCGGAGCTAGTATCAGGATGAATATCTTCTTGAGCAGTTGCAGCTTCGAAGAGAATGTTGAGTGCATCATTGCCACTTGCAACAACAGTCCGCATCATAGAGCTCGCAAGTGTGGAATTCGCCCGGTGTCTATTATGTTCATATGTATGAGAAGGGGACTGGTCGGTTTGTGAAGGTCCTACAGAAGGGTTATCGAGGGAGCCACGATGAGACCCCGTTTGATCCCGATGATATGGCCATCCGGACTGAAAGTTGCGCTCCTGATGAAAGTTGGTCTCGGGGGATGAGTTGGCTACATCGCTTGCGTGGGCATTGTGGGTCTGTCCTTGTGCGAGAACAGAACTAGCAGGTGAGGCCGTCGTAGGTTGTCTGGTGTGTCGGGGTGATACATTGGCTTCATAGCTCTCTGGTGATCGCGCTAGAAATTGACCATTCAGATACCGGCCAATTTAGATATGATAAGCACTCAATTCTACTAGGTAGCGTACCTCGTTTGCGGGACCTTTCCCAGGCCCGTTTCTCGGGGAACACACATTCCCTTAGTTCCCTTCGGCAGCGGGCACATGGTGGGCCGATCGGGAGGCCATCTGGGCCTGTTCCTAGGTCGCATTTGGCCTTCCTTTGCCGACAAGGAATGCAGGCCTTGTAGGTGCGCTGATACGGCTTGTCCGGCCGGGATGACCTGACGACATCCATCGTCAACCGTTCCTGAGCGGCTTCAAGGATCTCAAGTGGGTTCTGTGGATATTTGGTGATGGATAATTGCAGGGAGACAAAGAAATGTGGAGGGATAATTACCCGGCGATATCCGTCGGGCCCGCAAGCTTCTTTTATCTCCATATTGTTAGTGTCCTCACGTAGGATCAGACCTTTGTGAAAATTAATATATTAATCAAATTGTGTATGAACCTATTGGATAGAGAAATCATCTAGTTTATCCTCAATTTGATTGGTATTGAAAGTCAAGAGTTAATAAAAGAACAAATTGTAGATCATATGTCACGCAGGATAAGGTGGCTGCAAGCCTTCAGGCTCTAATGCATGTACACTGTAAATAAAATAGGCAATATTCTAGGCAAATAAATTAGAATAATATATAGAATATACCCCCGTCATAGCCGAAGTGTCCAAGAACGCGCTTGGACTCGGCTTCAACATGGCGGAATCTATTCCGCAAATGCTCTACACAACGGAGAAGATGTAACGGCACATAAGATCCGCGTCTGGGGAAGTGATTGAGCGTACATAATTGAACTTGTGTATCTTCATTTATAAGCACGAGCTCTTCCCGACTGTCTAGACCCTTTTTCGTACCTTCGTCGCTACCCCAATACTCCAATATCCAGTAGATCGAACATCACCAACACAAACCTTCACAATGACCGACACAGTGACTCTCCACACCTATTTCCGCTCCTCCTGCTCCGCCCGCCTCCGAATAGCCCTCCACCTAAAGCAAATACCCTTCAAATCCGTCTACGTGAACCTCCTAAAGGGCGAACAATCCTCCCCAGCCCATCTGGCCATCAACCCCTCAGGAACAGTTCCCGCCCTAGTAATCCAGCGCGACTCTCAAGCACCCGTGACAATCACGCAATCTCTCGCCGCGCTCGAGTACCTCGCAGAAGCATTCCCCGATCAGGGACCCGCACTACTCCCTCCGATCTCGGACCCGGAGAGTCGCGCTGTAGTACGCACCCTGGCGGACATTATCTCTTGCGATATACAGCCTGTTACGAACCTCAGGATTCTGAAGCGGGTTGGGCCGCTGGGGGTTGATCGTGCTGTCTGGTCGAAGGATTTGATCGAGGATGGGCTTAGGGCTTATGAGGCTGTTGTTAAGGAATCGGCGAGGAAATTTAGTGTTGGGGATTCTATTACCATTGCGGATTTGTGTTTGATTCCTGCTGCTTGGGGAGCTGAGCGGGTTGGTGTTGACTTGAGTCAGTTCCCAGTTACGAATGAGATCGTGAAGAACCTGGAGATGGAGGAGGCTGTTAAGAAGGGGCATTGGAGGTCGCAGGATGATACTCCTGAGGAGTTTCGTATTAAGGAATAGCTGAAACGGGTGTAAGTAGTGTATTAACTAGTCTTAACCAACATTCATGGGATATTTCATCGTCGTGCTAGTAATACTTGCGTTTCATGACACCTGGACGATGTAGTAGGAGATGATTTATGGTTGCACTGGCTAAATAAAACTGACCGAACCATTTAATTCCAAGCTCTATAATATAGAAATAAACAAAACCGAAAAAGCAACATAACACGTTGATCATTTAATTTGATTTTTAAGTCATCTACTGCAGCGAAACGGCAGGCAGGATAGTGCCAACACAGTCGCCGAAGCCAACATAGTTGCCTTCGGTACCAGCCATACCGCGCAGAGTAACAGTGTCGCCATCCTCAAGGAACATACGCTCAGAGCCATCCGCCAACTTAAGAGGAACCTTGCCGTTGGTCTGTTCCAAGAAACTACCCTGAGTCTTAGCCTCTTTGCCAGAGATAGTACCCGATCCGAGCAAGTCACCGGTGCGCAAGTTGCAGCCTGTAATAGTGTGGTGAGCAACCATCTGAGGGAAAGAGTAGAGTAGGTTGCGAGCGTTGCTGTTAGAGATAATAGTGGGCTGACCGCCGGGGTTGGTGACCTCGACATCGAGAGGGATCTCGTAGGCACTCTCGGCGCGCTTCTCGCGCAGATAGGGGAGCAGAGACTCGCGGTTTGCAGGCTCCAGGCCGGGAGCACGGAAAGGCTCGAGCGCATCAATCAGAACAACCCAGGGGGTGATGGTGGTACCGAAGTTCTTGGCATTGAAGGGACCCAGAGGGATGTATTCCCAAGCCTGAATGTCACGGGCGGACCAGTCGTTCATGAGAACCAGACCGAAAATGTGGTCCTCGGCCTGATCAATTGGGACAGGCTTGCCGAGATCATTGGGCTTGCCGATGAAGCAAGCAAGCTCCAGCTCGATGTCGAGCTTCTTGCAAGGAGAGAACGTAGGCACCTTGGGGTCCGCGGCGGGGTTCGCCAGAATCTGACCCTGGGGACGGTGGAGGGGTGTACCTGAAGGCACAACTGATGAGGCACGACCGTGGTAGGCAACGGGAAGATGCTTATAGTTAGGCTGGAGCGCATTGTCCGGGCCACGGAAGAGGACACCGATGTTGTATGCGTGGTTCAGACCAGCGTAGAAATCGGTGTAGTCGCCAATTTGCATGGGCAGGTGGTTGGTAACCTGGGACAAGGGTAGTAAAGCTGACTGTTGAAGGGAAGCATTGTCCTTAAGGAGCTGTGGGTACTTTGTGTCGGCGCGGAAGATGTTTTGTAGATACTCGCGCACTTGTCGGTGCACAGGACGACCAAGTGCAGCGAAGTCATTCAGTGTCGGTTGGCTGAAAACAGCTAGGTGTTTCTCGATAGCTGGCAGTTGTGAAAAGCCTCCAGATGAAGCGAATGTGCTCAAGTTCAATGCATGGTCACCGATTGCAATGGCAGCTGCCTTTGATGCAGATTGGGTTGAGATGATTCCGAACGGGATATTTGCCAGTGAGAACGGCGAGTTCTTGGGAATTTGAAGCCAGGAAGCCATAATGAGTTAATGTTTGACAAGTTGAGCGAGAAAGAGCGAGTTGACGGCCTTAACACCTCTAAGTAGTGCGGAATTGGTCCGTCCCCCCGCATTCAGCCGGTGCGGAATGTAAGGCTAATCGCGGCAATTCACAAATTCGCGGAATGGTGTGAATGGTGTGACCTCACGTTATTTGCTTTTCTTGAGAGCTGAGATCCCTCGGTAGATCTGGGGTATTTGTAAAGGCGGGTCTGCATCCCAAACCACATCACCTTCAATATGCCCGTCACTAAATTCAACCACCCCGATCCATACAAGTACCAGACGGGCTTTGACTCGCATCACGAGTATGTATTCACATAGTTTCCAACAAGGAACACAATTAATAAGTAATTAGGTCAGAAGCCGTCGAAGGTGCTCTGCCAATCGGCCAGAATTCCCCACAGAAAGCTCCATATGGGCTTTACACTGAGAAGCTCTCGGGAACGGCATTCACTGCACCCCGCCATGAGAATAAGCAGACATGGGTCTATCGGATTCTACCCGCAGCAGCTCATGAGAACTTCATCGCGGAAGATGCTGACTCGTATCATACGAGCATGACAACCGAGACCCACAAGCTTCACCACATCCCTAACCAGCTGCGATGGAACCCCTTCGATCTAGATGAGAAGGTTGACTGGGTGCATGGACTGCACCTGATTGCAGGCTCTGGAGACCCGACTCTAAAGCAGGGACTGGGCATTTTGATGTATGCTGCAGGCAAGGACATGGGCAAGGAAGCTTTCTACTCTGCGGACGGAGACTTCCTAATTGTGCCTCAGCACGGTGTGCTGGACATTCAGACAGAGCTCGGCCGCATTATCCTGCGACCAAATGAGATCTGTGTTATCCCTCGCGGTGTCAGGTGAGTGTTTTCCATATCCTCCATAGGATCAACAACTAACCACCTCCATTAGATACCGAGTGACGCTCCCAGACGGCCCTGTGCGGGGATACATCTGTGAATTATACCAGGGCCACTACCAACTACCGGAGCTTGGTCCTATTGGATCCAACTGCCTGGCCAATCCGCGCGATTTCCAAGCTCCCGTTGCGGCTTTTGACGACGAAGAGGAAAGCGAATATAAGCTATACAGCAAATTCAACAACACTCTCTTCGCTGCGCGACAGAACCACACCCCCTTCGATGTTGTCGCCTGGCACGGCAATTACTACCCCTTCAAATACGATCTCGGCCGATTCAATACTATTGGTTCGATCTCATTCGATCACCCCGACCCTTCTATATTCACTGTGCTGACAGGTCCATCGGACCACGTTGGTACCGCCATTGCCGACTTTGTTATCTTCCCTCCTCGCTGGCTCGTCGCAGAGGGTACTTTCCGCCCACCGTGGTACCACCGTAACACCATGTCGGAGTTCATGGGTCTGATTTCTGGTGACTATGATGCGAAGGTCGGTGGTGGTTTCAAGCCTGCTGGTGCTAGTTTGCACAATGTCATGAGTGCTCATGGTCCCGACTCGGGTGCCTTTGAGGGAGCTAGCAATGCTGAGCTGAAGCCTCAAAAGGTTGGTGATGGGAGTATGGCTTTCATGTTTGAAAGGTTAGTTCGATTTTCGCTATCATTTCTGAGACTTAGTTTGCTAACAATGGTTTAGTGCTCTCATGGTCGGCGTCTCAGAATGGGGTCTTAAGACCTGCGAGAAGGTGCAGCCAGAATACAACGAGCACAGCTGGAAGCCTCTGAGGCGACACTTTGTGAACCCTAACAAAAAGGCCTAAGCTATAGTTTGGGCCTGAGCATTGCGATGAGGATATTCGCACATTTCCGATTAGTTCTATAGCAAAACAAGATACCAAATTCAATCAAATTGATCAAAATTGTTTTTCATTATTGCTTCGTTATTCCAAATGCGAATATTCCAAACCCCAACTTCGTGCATTACATAATTCCGCAATGGTTACTAAAAATGGTACATATATCTAAACTTCACCCCTCAAGCTCCTTCCTCATAGCCTCCTTAACAATAGCCCCACACATCTTAGCATAAGGATTCGTCTGCACAGAAAGCTGTTGCGCAACCTTATTCCCATAGCGACCACCAAAGAAGAAATCCCGACTAGCCATTTCCTCGAGCTGATCAGCCGAAAGTCCACGCAAACGCTCCGGACCCGCCTCATCACTAGTACCAGCCTTCTTCACGCGCGCCGCTTTCAGAAGCAAGTAACCCCTGTGCGTGTGCGCGTCAGCCAATAGCCGTGCCTGGGTCGTTGAGACGGCATCAGCGGGAGAGGCGGGTGTGGCATAATTTATGGCTTGGCCTAGGTCAGAGAAGATGCGGGAGCAGAGCTGGGAGGTTTCTGGGGCAAAGAGGGCAGCATCGGCTAGCTCAGTGTCGTTGGTTTGATCGTTATCCGCTTCTTTGCTGTAGATCAGATCGACTAGCAGACGGAGCGTTTGTGCTCGGTTTGTGTATGCGGAGGGATATGTTGGATGCTGGGTGAGGAGAGTGTCGAAGTCGTTCAGTGCTGACTGGACTGTCTCTATACTTGGTGATTTATTTGATTGCAGCTCGCGGATGATGTCTGTTTCGCGCTGCTTGAGCGATGTCAAGTCTGTTTCGGAGATGTTCAGAGATGACGGCCATGAGGGGAGCGTTGAATCAATGGTGATTCCCGATGATGGAGAGGATTCGGCATCGAATAGAGCTTGTAGTACAGCCGAATCATTAGATGTCAATGATGGGCGAGCAGTTGTGATAGATGTCATCTTGAGAGTTGACGTTGAGGTGAGAGATTAGGAGGGATATTGTGAGAGTCAATTCAGAATGGGCAGTCAGTAAATTGAACAAAGCAACATGTCTCAAAGAAACTGAAGAAGCCGTGAAATTGAAGATCCGGATATTAACAATGATGCTCAGTGGGTCCGGGTATCTCCGGATATCTCAGGGTCCTGAAATAGCCGGGAACTATGACATCCTAGGATTGGAATAGATATCCGCCGAGGCAAATTGCGCTTACTGATTTATTTAAAACCTTTGGAAGGGTAGCGTAGACTTCATATTAAATAAGAAATCTACTCTTAACTTGTACCATCTACATTTCATCTACCCAATAATCATACAAACATACGGGATTCAGCAAAATGGCACCTTCAGCTATTTCTAATAGCCCTCCTCCTTCGGCTACCAACGAGGCGTCCTCTGTGGCTAGCTACCGCGGCTACGACCATGTTCACTGGTACGTTGGCAATGCCAAGCAAGCCGCAAGTTACTACATCACCCGCATGGGCTTCAAGCGTATTGCGTACAAGGGCCTTGAAACTAGCAGCCGCCACATCTGCTCCCATGTCATCCGCAACGGCGACATCACCTTCATCCTAACCTCTCCTCTACGGTCTCTTGACCAAATCGAGCGTTTCAATCCTGAAGAGCAAGCCGAGCTTAAGGAGATCCATGACCACCTCGAGAAGCACGGTGATGCAGTCAAGGACGTTGCCTTTGAGGTTGACAACGTCGATGCTGTCTTCTTTGCTGCCGTGAAGAATGGCGCCAAGGCTGTCTCTAACCCTAAGGTCCTTGAAGATAAGAGTGGCCATGTCAAGACTGCTACCATCCAGACTTATGGGCAGACCACCCATACCCTCATTGAGCGCAGCGACTACCGCGGTGTCTTTATGCCAGGCTACCGTGCTGAAACCGGCGCCGAAGATCCAATTTTGCAGTTCCTGCCCGGTGTTCATCTCAAGCGTATCGATCACTGCGTTGGAAACCAGGACTGGGATGAGATGGATAAGATCTGTGAATAGTGAGTTCCGCCCTAATTTTTTGATTGAGACTCACTTACTGATACCACCGGTTAGCTACGAGAAGGCTCTTGGCTTCCACCGTTTCTGGTCTGTCGACGATAACCAAATCTGCACGTAAGTGGTTTAACATGTGCTGGCTGATCCCGAACCACCATGACTAACCTCATAATCATAGTGAGTTCTCAGCTTTGAGCAGTGTCGTCATGGCCTCGCCCAATGAGATCGTCAAGATGCCCATCAACGAACCAGCAAAGGGCAAGAAGCAATCCCAGATCGAGGAATACGTGGACTTCTATAATGGTGCTGGTGTACAGCATATTGCACTTCACACCGACGATATTATCCGTGATATCACCAACCTCAAGGCACGTGGTGTAGAGTTCATCAAAGTTCCTGACACATATTACACCGATATGCAGGCCCGCTTGAAGCAGTCTGGCTTGGTACTCAAGGAAGGCTTCGATACCATCCGCAGCTTGGACATCCTGATTGATTTCGATGAGGGTGGCTATCTGCTGCAGCTTTTCACTAAGGTATGCGGAAATTAATGACCCCAGTATTCGTGAATTTATACTAATCTGACAAATAGCACATGATGGATCGGCCTACGGTTTTCATTGAGATTATCCAGCGACACAACTTCGAAGGCTTTGGAGCTGGCAATTTCAAGTCACTATTCGAGGCTATCGAACGAGAGCAGGAACTTCGCGGTAACTTGGTTTAAGGACAAAAATTTGGTTTAGTCGGGCATTTTCTCGAGCCCTTGCGGTTTGGTAGTTTGCATCTTGCATTTAGCGAATTAGGGGCTTCCTTAATACTATTTTTTGGGATTATTTCATGGTTTTTGTAACCCGAACCGATACTTGGGAGGTATTGGGTCGTCAGCTCTTGCGCGCTCCGTCTTCCTGGTGGTATTAATTGTAGGAGCAGAGGAGGCATAGATGGTGAGATTTGTACTGAATGAAATATTGTCAAATGGAGAATTTCCAGGGCTATGCGGGTGCTGTAAATGGAAGACGTGGCGTGTGCAACGTGCTACACTAAGGATTATAGAGCAGATGTGAGATCTGAGCACCATATGGAACTGACTCCCAGTTGGAAAAGAGGTTGTGATGAAGACCGCTTAAGTGCTGTGTTGAGTGTCTTCCATCTGGCAATTTATATACTTCAGTTACGACTAACAGGTCAAAGGAAACATCTCCATGAAGCAATTTCAACTTAGAAGAACGAATACCTACTACTTTATATAAACCTAGCAATCCGAAACAGCTCAATAGTCTTACCACTTTCTTTAACCTTATTCCCAAGAGCCAAAATAAGCAACCCCTACCATCCAGTGATACCCCGTCATCCTCTCAAGTCCAACTTCAATCGGAGTATCGATCCAGCAAATCTGCAAGCTCACGCCAATTCTGTCGAATCTTAAACCGATGTTCATCCAGATTCCTCTCCAACGCGGTCATCATTTCTAGACCATCTGCATCAACACCACCTTTGACCATTTGGTCCTGTCTACGTTGAAGATGGTCTATCAATTATGATTCCCGTTTGAATATGGCCCTTGATTCAGCCAGCAGACGTCTTTTATCATCCATCCATTTCTTTTTTGTTTCCGTCAACTTGTTCTTTGTCGCTATATGGTTCGGATCTGCTGAATATATCTGTTTCGTATGGGCTTGGGGTTTATTAGCGATGGAAAGGGGGGTTTATCGGGGACGAAGACGGACCTGCAGCAGCACAACTGCCTATCAGTAACACCACCCATATAACAGCGCAAGTGGCATATTCTAATTCGTCCAATATCCTGGACATTTTGTGAATTGGTTTCTAGGTTGGGTCTGGTCGTGCGGGTAATCGGGTAATCGGGGGGTCGGGAGGTAATTGAAAGAATGGAAATGTGACTTTTTGTTCATGGGTGCCCTAAGTAGGTGATAATGAGGCACTGATGATGTTATGTTTGGGTTTCCGCTACTTAGGTTGGAAGAAGCTTTTGTTTAAAACCTTAGGTTAAACTGTTAAATACATATTGAGATATATAATAGTCTCGCCCTATTCCATCCAACGTTATTTACTTCCGCTTCGATGAACTCGAAGTGGGAGGATTGGCCCCAATCCGCTTGAATTTTCTCGGATCTAGAGCACCATTAGACGGGTGCACTCGCAGGAAATTTAAAATGCAAGACATACCTTTCCGACTCATCAGAGCCCGATTTCTCGTTCCCTTTCCGCCCTCCCAGAACCCACTACCTGCCTTTCCAACCAAGACAGCTTTGCAGATACCGCAGTTCTCGGGCCTGTAGATTTGTTCGCGGGAGCAGTAGCCACATATCATACGATTTGCGTGTTCGTTCGGGTGGTCGGTTTCCACATTGTGACATCTAGAAAATCAATAAGCATGTGAAAATTGATAGGGAGATATCGAGGGGGAAGCATACTTGTCACAAGGGAAGACTTTTGAGCAGCAGCTGAATCTGTAGGGGGTTAGTATAACCTCGAGTGCTATCAACTTGCCTATAGGGGAATCACATACCTGAACCAGCGTTGACTCTTGGCATAGTGTTGGCAACGACCGCGTCGCGGAAGTTCTTGTCCTGCGACAATGCCAAGGACTTCCTGGGGCTGGGAGAATTGTTAGATATTATCATGTTGATATGCGGTGGATTGTACGAACCTTTCTTTTGAGGGGGAGTGCACCACGAGAAGTGACTAGATGGTACAGTAATGAGCAAAAGGTCTCTTGCGGGTTCGATATATTGGGACTTACTCGTTGCATTTCCCACCAGAAGGAATTTCACCTCAGGGATCTTGAAAACTAAAATTTGGATATGTTAGTAGCCGAACAACAGACACTGTGTATTAGAACATACCCATTTTGCGATGGCACTGGCGACATATACCCATGGCACTCTCGCCGCGAACTGCGGGTATACCTGGTGCCGGATGGGGGGTCGAGCACTCGGAGCAAGTTGGGATGAAGTCGCTATAGCAGATAAGTCAACAAATAGCACGTGGATGATTTGAATGAGAGAACGAACCTCAGAAGCATGTCCCCAATCGTACAGCCGCCCATGTCAAGGTAACCAGCACGATTAGCATGAGAATGCATCAACTGCTTCCGGAACGCTGCACATGAGAGTCAGTAACCCATAAAAAAAAGGATAATGAGATTAAGTGTATACTCACCGACACTCATATTATTAGCGCATTTCCGGCACGACTCCATTTTCGCCATCTGGCCCTTCTCGTCGGTAATTTGGGGCACGTGCTTGATGTCGACTGGTACCTTACATCTCTCACATTTGATCGTGATGTTGAGGTTCATGATTTCCAGTAGCTCAATGCCGTAGAGTTCTAGGTACGGGAAGGAAAGTGCGACGCCTCGTCCGGGCGCGTTGTTGTCCACTGATGTGGGGACGGGTGCACCTCCTTCGTCTTCCTCTTCCTCTTCATCTTCATCCGAATATTCGTCTTCCTCGTAACTAGACTCGTCTGATGTCCCCTCGGCGCCATTGTTGGGATTAGGAACCGACCATTCGGGTGGCCGTGGAATGACAACAAGATGTGGCCTGTCTTCATTATCTTGGGTTGAGGACAGGGCAGGTGCTTTTTCGGGTTCCTCCACCTCCTCTTCCTCGTCCTCTTCGACAGTGGGTGGTACATCCTCGGTGGGCTCCTCCTCTTTTGGTAAGGGCGTTTCGGCAAATTTATGGATATTGCTCGCCAGGTAGTTGACCTGGGATACTAGACTTAGCTGCGAAGTCTGTTCCACCCACTGAGTGAATCCTACTTCTGTGGCTTTCACCTCAGGGCCTTCAACTCCCTGCAACTTAATCGAGCTGTGCTCGAGCGGGTAGAGCTGTGGCACAATCAATTTCAAAGTCTTGAGTGCTTGAAGTGTTCGGGGTAGGCGATCCTTTTTGGTTGGCTGGATGGGAATAACATATGTCCTGCCATCTTGCAGTTTTTGGTACATCGGCAGTCTTCCAAGGCGCGCTTCGAGCTGTTTCGTCTCGGTTGCCCGTCTCTTCTCAGCTGCAGCTTTCGCTTCGGCCGTGTGTCTAGGTGCTACAGGCCGTGCTTGTGGTGCTGGCTTAGCAGCAGCACTCGGCGTTTTATCACGAGCTTGAGGCGGGCTCGGCTGGCTTAAAGTCTTCTCCGGGGCCTTGGCAGCTTCTTTCGTTGTGGGCCCATCACCAAGGTTAGCAAAGAACTTCAGCGTTGGCCCACGCTCCAGAGTGGTTAGCAATGATTCGAGCTTCTTGTCCAGACTGTTCAACCAGCCCAAAAGAGTTCCTCGGCCATTGGTGCGGTACGTAAAATCGACAATTTCATCGAAGCCTCTGACGACATTTGCTTGATACGCAGCTTCCATTTCAGAATTGGTTACTGCAAGCGTGGGCCGCACTTTCGGGTATGAGCTTGGGACCTGAAGGACACATTGGAGTTTTTCAAGCTCAAAGGGGAAGTCCGGATCAGAAGGTACCAAGCCAAAGGTCAAAGTGCAGCCTTGGGAATCATTAACTTCTTGTGGACGGTAACGCCGCCTCAATTGGTTGATCTGAAACTCTCTTGGATCTGACTGCTCCAATTTAGAAACTGGTCTTTGGGGCTGGACAGGGGCTGCCACGGAGCGTTGCTTCGAATGGCTTTCACCAATGTTCAATCTCTCGGCCCCAGTGACAATAGCTTGTGCAGGACTCTGGCTTTCGTTTCCCGAGGATTGGGCTGGTGTCTGCTGCTTTGATGAAGGCTTCTTAGGCTCAACGGCCGAGGCATCATGTAGAAACGGACATGCTTCTCCAATTCGGCATCCTTGAACAATGTTAGCATATGACCTTAACGACACATCGCCTTCCTAGCAAACGACCACCACCAAGAATACATGTGCAAAAAATTAGGGTACAGGACAATCATGCAATGCTGGTCATAGCTCGGTATCATTGACCCTTTGGGTGCACATGGCCGATGCTGTGTACAGGCATTCCCAAAGGGGCCTGTTCGTGGCACACGGTCCGTATTCAATGACGCGTCGACCATTGCAGTGACAAAATAGGCAAAGAGCCCTTACAGACAGAAACTCAGAACGCAGACCTACCCTTTTTGGATTTGAAAAAGCGACATTTCTGCCGCCGAGTCGATGACTGGCGAGCAGCACTTGTCTCATCGGTGGATGCAACGCCATGCGACCGGGCCGCTGACAACTCATCAATTGTCAAAGATGATGGCAGCTCTGTACCTGTTTAACAAAAGCAACATGAGCGTGTGATCAAAAAGTTTGTGAGCCACCGAGTCCGATCCTGGCATATTGGCGTATTGGCAGAACTGGGGTCACCCTGCACACCAACAAAATCCTCGGAGGAGATAACATGAAATTGATAGGCTTTGTGGCTGATGCAACATGTGGTGCATGGACATGCAACAGGGGGGCTGAAATTACGAAAGCCTGTAGTGAGGGTCCCGATAATCCGCGCAAGTAGATCTCATGGAATTGATTGGGACAAAAGCCTCCGGCTAGATGGGGGGTTTACGCGCCAATAATAGAATTGTACTCGACTCACCTTGGATCTGGGGTTCTGGACCCGCATTGTCGTCAAATGACCTATTCTCCATACTGAAACTGAGACTTGGGCCGTTCTTTGAAGGATGATCCAGAATGGAATGACTGGGTTCTGAGCGACTTGGGAGGTGACGCGCACTGCCAACACTGCCAACGCAGAGATCGGGTGACCTTGAGATCGACAGGACCAGATCTGCGCAGTAAGTAAGCCGAGATGTGCGACCGTCTAAACTGTAGTGATCTTCGAAGTCACGGCGCTAAGCAAAAATAAAACACACGGGAGGAGAAAAACGGCAAAAAGAGATACAGCCACGTGATGTCAAAGTAACAAACGTCAAAGTAAGCCGCAAACAAGCAGTGGTATATCTTGAGGTCTGAGAATATGAAGCTATACAAGAAGTTATAGTTGTTTACGGTTTTGCTGGCAGTTCAATGCCAAGACTTAGGCGGAACCGATGACCTCATTCGCCTTCACATTCAACTTGACTCATACTTCACTTCGCTTCAGTCATTTCCAGTCATAATTTTAGTCACAATGAATCGATTTGAGGTCCCTAGTTGAAGACTAGAATGTTCGTGGGGGTTCTAATACGTAGCACAATGTCGATCTCCCCTGTCGCTCAAGCCAACTCCAGTACTCCATACTCAACATTGCATACATCGCATGCTGGACAACGTTCACAGGTACAAGTTCACCTGGGCAGCTCGCTATATTAATAATGATAACGACCGCAGGATCCTCGCATTTATTGTTACCTCAACTATGTCATTCGTCATTTCACGTCCAAATCACAATCCAATGCTGTGGCGTTCAGTCTTAAAGCCCACCATCTGCCCGAAGCCCCAACAGGAAGCAAAACAAACTCATTAATAGGCAATAATATACCTACATATCACCAATGCATCCAAAAAACATAAAACAAAAGCCATCATCAAAACAACCAGAGGGGAAACAAGATTCTGAATTCCAATTTGCCAGCAGAACAGATACTACACGGAGCGCGACACCCGCCTTATCTCCATTCATGCCGGGGGATATCCCTATTAATAAGGGGCCAACCCCGGCCAACGCCATGACAATATAAAAAGATAAACCTTTGGGAGTAATACGACCCGACGGGGCGCAACAAGCTCAGCACAATATACTCAACGGCCAGTCAGGGGCAGCGGTCGGTCCGCGTTACGCGGAAAAGATGAGGGGTTCGCTTTGGGGAGTTTCTAGAACTCCATCCCTGCAAGGGTGCGCCTTCGCCAG